CTGTTTTGTACATTTCTATGGTTCTTCGCTTAAAGCCAATTCTGCAACTGACCAACAGGGGCCATGCTTTACCTAGAGTAAAACATCAGGGAATATCTTATGATTTTTCAGCGCGGTGGGATTTAAAAACACATTAGTTTCCCAAGTTTATTTGTCGAGGAGGGTTGAAATCCCTGTTCTCTTAGTCTCCAAATTAACTTTTATCGATCGGGCAGGTTGAGTCTGAGTGGAGCAAATCACTTACGTAGAGAGATAATAATAATCTGAAATGCAGAAGCCAATTGCGCATAACAGTGTCCCACAAACAGTCGTGAATTAAAAATGACCAATTTATTATTGTCTTGGTTTTTGGAGGGATTATTATTATTATTATTATTAGGCGTGTGGAGTAAGGAAACTTGCCCAAGGTTTCTCCCTGCCTGGAATTGAACCCAGGTGTCTTGCTTGCAAGGCGAGTGCTCTAACCACTGAGCTACAGGACTCCATAATGCGCTTAATGTGCCACCTGCTGGTATTCCTAAACATTCACCTAAAATATGTTTAGGAACCGTTCGGATTCCTGCTAACATTACCTCATTGTTTGTATTTTACTCTAACTCATAACATTGAATAGACTGGCTGAGTCTAACTGCACATTTGTCATCCAATACAATGCAATTTTATGGACAGAAAGAACCTTTCCTCCTCTGCATCTACATTTGAACATAATGCTTTATTTTATGCCTTACTGGAACCAACACAAATCAATTAGACTTTCTTCAGGCTAAGGCTCTTTTCATGCATTCATTCTCCAATGTTCAAAATTTTGTTCAAGCCAAATGTCTTTCAAGAAAAAAATAAAAGTAAATCTTTCACTTCTCAAGGATTAATATACAAGCAAATTTATATCAATACCAAATATATCATTATAAAATCACAATAAGGGGACCTGTTGATTTATACCCATCAATTTGCTAAATATGAGCAATTTGCTCATAGATAAAAACATCAAATGTGACTGATTTTCCTTATTAAAATTAAGGGAAAGCTTTATTGAAATAATCAATCAAAAGGCTGCAGTGTTACATTGATAAGCCTGACAAAAAGTACTTTTTGGCTAACACATGATTTCAGTGCTATAAGTAAATTGATTCCTTTTTAAAATGGGTAATGAAATTTATTTTGGCAGCGCAGTTGTGAAATATGTGTTATGGGAGCCCTTTCTTCTCTGTAACAAGGTGGAAGGTTCCTCTGTTGGTTTTCCAGTTGGATTGCAAAGACGATGGTTTAATATTTATTGCGATTAAAGGACACACGTTACAGTGGAACACACTTATCAAGGTATCAATTCATAGTATCACCTGATAACATTTCTGTGCATGTTCAGAACAATACTTCAGGACGCACCAAGATAGTAGAACAAGTTTTAGTTTTAGAGTTGCAAAGGGCAATTTCAGACAGACACCAGGGTACTCTTTACTCAGAGGGTAATTACCAAATGCAAGGATTTTAAAAATATAATTAACCACCGGAACAGGTTGCCAGGAAAGATGATTGAGCCCAGGACATTGGACTCTTTTAAAAAGTGAGATCTTGTGATGGGGGAATGGTGGGGTGGATATTCTGGAGGGAAGTGATCAAAAGGGCCTTCTTCATCCAGACTAGTCTGGTGATGTTATCTGGCTCCCAATCATGTGAAAGCACAATTATGGTCACATATTTTCTTAAACCAGCTTCACTTACCGCAGCAAAATGAATTCAGGGTGGAAGAGAGACTTTATCCTGCGTGGAGGCTGCTATATAAATGCAAGCTGTTGCTGTGATTGTGTGATATAATTCCTCCATCCAATAGTGGAATTGAAGTGAATTACGAATACTGTACCGAATATATGAAATTAAAATTGATTGATTGTGCACTTTGGAATATTTTCTATCAGGATTTGAGACCCCATTATCTAGGATTTCATGCTTTCTGCCATCTTACTCGCTTTTGTCTTACAAATCTAACCCATTATTTCCCCGGCCAGCATTTCACCACCGAGTAATATCCCATTAACTCACATTATGTATATGATTACTGCCTTTAATTTGGGCTATCTAACTTGCCCTTCAGCACTCAAAGATTCTATTCTACATGAAGAGTGCTATATAAATGCAAATTGTTGTCATCCAGCTTCCATTCCAATGAAGGTAATGTTACGCTATCTTTCTCTCTCGTACCTGATTGGCCTCTATCCATTTCCAACACCTCTTGGTTTTATTTACATTTTAATAGTTTGGTCAAGAACGAAGCAGCTTGGCTGGCAAAGATAGAGGAATCAACTATTACTTAAGGCTGAGATTTGAACCTGTGATCCTCAGAGTTGGAGGGAATTCAATAGACCACAGATGAAGCAATATGTCTGCTGGGACACAGAACAAAGTAGACTGGATCCTGCAGTTATTGAAAACAACTCACAAAGGTGATTGCATTCACCTGAGCAGATATGTTCAGTCTCCTAAAGATATGGCAGAGATCAATTTGTTACAAATCCTTCAAAGACCCCAAGGGTTAAGCTGAAACACAAGGTATTCCTATTTAATAGCAGCTCCCAGAGGTGTTGGAGCAGACTGACATGTCAGCCTGGCTCAGCTGGTAGACTTAGCTGAGTCAGAAGGTTGTGGGTTCAAACCCCACATCGGGACTTTGAACTCTTAGTCTAGACTGACACTCCAGTATAGAACTGGGGAAGCACTAAAATTGTAAGAGGCACTGTCCTTCAGATGAGACGTTAAACTGAGGTCCAGCCTGTGCTGTTTGGGTGTAAGTTAAAGAGCCCATGGCATTGTTCAAAAAAAGGGAGTTTCTCCCGATGTCCTGACCAACAATCCCCAGTAAAATTGGTCATTCATTTCCTGGCTATTTGTGGGGCATTGCTATGCGTAAATTGGCTGCTGTGTTCATATTCAAATTACACCTACTGCTGCGATTGTGTGAAAGGGTGCCTGAAATGGTGTGTAAGCCGATTCAATAACAACTTTTAAGAGAGAAGTAGATAATTATTTGGGGAGGACAAGTTTGCAGGGCTATGGGGGGAGAACAGAGGAGTGGAATTGATTTGGGTAGTTCTTTTCAAAGAGCTGGCATAGACATGATGGGTCGAATGGACTCCTGTGCTGTATAATTCTATGATTCTACTATATTACACTTCACAGTGAAGTAAGTCCTCCTGACATGGAAGATACTATATAAATACAAATTTATTGCTGTTATTGATTTAATATCACCACTAAAATAATAAAGGAAGAAATTAGGAGAATTTGTTTCACATATATGCACACCAAAAATGGTGGCTGGAGTAGAATCAGGGATAGCTTTCAAAAATAAAATACTTGAAAAGCGAAAAATATAAATTTGGGAGGGCGGGGGGAGAAGGGAAAGGAGAACGCGCAGGGGAGTGTGACTGAACTGTACAGAGTATCCTTTGAGAAAGCGAACACAGCACAATGAGCCAAATGGCCTCCTTGTGTGTTGTGGAACTTATATGTTAAACAAGTTTAGCATTTGTTGAGAGGTTATAAGTGAGCCAGCAGCCTGGCTCATTCAATGATTGGTAATCTATGAATTTTCTATTTTCTTTCTATTATTTAATATTAATTTTGTTAATTTTCTTGAAGTTGCTTCAATGAAACACATTAAACAATGAGGTAAGTCTTGTGAAGTACTGTATTACCCTTGCAGTTAATCTGTCTGAGCACTAGAGAAAAATTCTTCACAGCAGCACTAAAATGATAGCATTTCCAGATAAATTCTTCTTCTCGGAGTTAATGCACAATCTTGGGATAGAATACCATTATGCTTCAACTATCAACTGGTGAATTAAACTTCATATGTCCTATTCCCAACCTACATTTAAATACCACAATAAAAAACAGGTTTCAAATATCTGGCAAAATGACTGCATTTTTGAGATGCTGCTTTATTTTTCTCCTGTGTAACATTTAAAGCCATGACTGGAATACTGACAATAAGCTCGATTTAACAATAAATGTGGATTTGGGATATGACAGTAACTGTTGAACATCAAGCAAATAAAGCAATGTTTCAAAAGATCAGTGACTTGGGAGTTGATAAATTTCAAGTTTGAAAATGTTAGTTATAGGTACACCTGGAATATCATACGCATTGTGCCTTCAGTGCTTGTCTTTCAAGAGTATCCCACTATCACAATCTGGTTGCAACACAAATACCCCATTCCCTCCTTGGACTGTTCTATAATGGGAGACACAGCCTGTAATTCGGGATCCCACCTTGTCATCCGGGATGGTTTTAAAGCATTTCAGAGTTGCTTACAAATGAACGATAAAATTGCATGCTGGTGGACAGCGAAATGGGGTTTTGTGCAATTCAATAGGTTCACCTTTTAAGATCATTTCCCAGTTCAGTTTAATTAAATCTGTTGTGCTAAAGTGGTAAATCTGTGCGGAAAGCATCGAAGAACACATAACATCGCTCTGGCACAGCAGGATAATTCATTATAACCAAGGACTTTCTGTCCTTTGCAGATGCAGACTTCCAATAACTCGTAATTTTTACTATGTAAAGGCACAGAAATATGTATAAAGTGAGCAGTGAAAACTACATTTGAAATGAATTACAGGTTTTATAGCATCTAAGAGATGAACCAGTTCAGTTATAAGAGTGAATGTAGATACCATGAGATATAAAGCTGAACAGGGTCTCTGACAACCAGAAGGTACAGCTTACAATAAACAAGATACACAATACATCAGCAGACAGTCACTCATTGATATCTGGCAATGGGCATTGCGAAAGCAAACCGATTGAATATTTTTTCTCAAATGGCTTACCTTTCCACATTGCTAACTATGCAATGCTGAACATTAACATGAATCTAGCTAAATAGCATTAGTCAGGACCACAAATTGTGTAGGGAGAATCCCAAAAGACTAGTGCAGGTTAGCAGAGGTTACTAACATCGACCCCTGAAAACAGAACAAAGAGAATTAGGAAACAATTGTTTTGTTATATATGAATTTTATTTTGAATGAAATATGTAGTGATGTCAAATGTGATCAGCGTTGTAAGATATAGTCTATAAATCTAGAAGACAATATAGTACCTTTACATGTTTAAAATATCTAGATTGTTGGACTCGGGAGAGCGAGAAGTTTACAGTGTAATGGTACAGCATACCTACTGGTCAGTAATTACATCATTAGGAGGGACGGGGGGAGAGGAGAGAAATACAGCTATATGAAGTTGGAGGCAGTCCCAGTTAGACTTGACACAATACACAAAAATAATTAAAAAAACACAATTCCACCAAATGATTACCGATGGATTACTTGGACCCTTCTGCAAACTCTGTTTGAGCCGTTTGGTCTGTTGGAAATGAAAAGCTTTGAGTGTAAGAGAATGTTATTCAGACTGGTATAAGATCCCCTACAATGAAAGTGAGGCCTGAGGTAGAAAGGTGGTCATGGCTTTCTTTTGTTACAATACGTTAAAACAATTAAAATTCTACTCAAAAAATTTCCTCGGGGCACAGATTCGTTAAAAGTCCCTCTATAAAGAGGGGGCTGAGGGGGAAATTGATCCCCTCCCATTTACCCGCAACACTTTGGCCTAACTAAAAAAAAAGGAACTATATCCTTAGGCACGCAGCCAAGTGTTGAAAGCCACAGCTATGAGACTTGGCTTCAAAGGAGGGTGATGCTGGAGAGAGTGGAATGACTTTTTGTTTGTAAAACTGTGTAAAATGCACAAACCATGACTTGAAAATGTTCCATCAATACTCTCTTCACCAATAGTAAAAAGTGATATAAAGCCCCTTCCCCCTTCTCAAATGCTGATGTTTATACAAATAATGGCAAGTTTTTCAGACTCCACCTAACATTTTATACTTCATTATTTTACAATTGCATAGTAAAAGAAGCAAACAGGAACATAACAGTGACAACTTGTGGTCTTTGGGTCTTCAGGAAGTGAACTTCTTCAGTAGGACAGATCATTGAAATCCATAATACTTTTGAGGGTCCCGTTTCCGTATATTTGTAACTAATGTCGGTCATCGGGGTTGGTGGACGATGCTGGAAGTTACTGGCTAGTGTTTCCAACACGTCTTTACATCATCTGCACTCAATGCAAAAGAAAACGCCTTGTTATTCTAACCCTCCACCACAAACCTAAACCCAAACCCAAGCAGACATTCAGTGAAACATCTATCCTTTCAGCTCAGGTGCAGTGGGGTTTGTGCAGACACGTATTTGAACGCTCGCGAGGTCAGCATGCATACACCAACACTCTCCATGACAAACACACACACACACACACACACACACACACAGACCACTCAGTTAACTTTCAGCTAAGAGAGTTGTACCTTTGGACACAGTTTAAAAATACCAGCATTTTACAAATGTTTTTGTTCCAATGTTGGAACAGAGAAGATTGAGGGGTGACCTGATAGGAGTCTTAAAAATTATGAGGGGTTTTGCAATAGGGAGAAATTATTTGCTCTGATTGATGAGTCAATAACTAGAGGGTATCAATTTAATATGGTTAGCAAACAAGCAAATGGGAAGGTTAGAATTGGTTTCATGCACAGAGTAGTTAGGATATGGAATGTCCTGACGGAAGCAGGTGTTTGAAGCAGAAGCCATTTCAGCTCTCAAAAGGGAGCAAGATAGATATCTAAAGAGGAGTAAATTACAGGGGTATGAGGAAAATAGAAGCAGAAGCGATTGAAAGGATTGCTCTTAAAAGAGCCAGCACAGACACAATAGGTCAAGTGGCCTCCTTCTGTGCTAAATTTAAAAATGTTAACACAAATCATTACATGTACCACATTATTAGCAAGAAAGTAGAGGAAGTGGTCACTCAGCAATACCACTTTTTATTAGATCCTGCCAGATCTTTTAATATTTCCCTTCTTTTTTTATAACCCTTTATACCCTTAATTCCTAAGTATCCACTATTCCTTAGACATCCTCGTTTCTCCAAAGGAATAAAACAATTTTCTCCTCCTTACATTCCCCACCATCTTGCTACAGAAGAGCAGAAAGGTGACCTGCTCCCAGGCCTCCAACAATTATATTCTCTAACAGATATATGGAGATGAGTAACAAGGACTCAGAATCTTTTCTCCACTCAGGCGTCTTGTCCTGGTGTAATCTGTAGGTTACACCCCCAGGCCGTTAGCAAGACATTAATGCAGCATGTAAATATACAAACATTATAACACCATAGGTATTCACAGTATGTATAGATAGCCATACATCCATCCATGGCCTTGCCCCCTCCTACCTCTCTGACCTGCTGACTCCCTACCAACCTGCCCGCTCCCTCCGTTCAGCGGGCTCCGGTCTGCTCCATGTCTCCACCTGATCCACCTTACCATCGGTGCCTGGGGTTTCAGCCTCTCTGCCCCCACACTCTGGAACTCCATCCCACAGTCCCTTCACCTCGCTTCCTCCCTTGTCTCCTTCAAGGCCGGTTTCAAGACCCTCCACTTCGATCGTGCCCTCAGTCGCTTTCCCACATCTCTGCCTTCCCTCACCCCTCCCCCATGCTCAGGTCCTGACCCCTGATTGTCTAGCACCTTGGGACATCTTCCTGACATGAAAGGCGCTCTATAAATGTAGTTTTGTTGTTGTTGTTGTATATGGTTCACCCCTCCTTCAATACACAACATTTACAGATGTGTTGTAAGTGGCATACCTGCTGTCTTGGAGTGAAACTTGCTGCTGGAGACCAAATTTTGGTTGTGTTGGGGAAAGAAAAACAGAGACATTAGGAGGAGCAGTGTAAACAACAAATTACATTTGTATAGGGCCTTTCATGTCAGGAGGATGTCTCAAGGCACTGAATAGTAAGAGATTTGCACCCGAGCAGGGGGTTGAGATTGAGTGGGGGGTCTGGGGGGCAGGGAGGGTAGGGGCAGGAGGGTGGCCAAACGCACGGTCGAAGAGGAGGGTCTTAATACGTGCCTTGAAGGAGGCAAGGGAGGGAGCAAGGTGAAGCGACTGTGGGATGGAGTTCCAAAGGGTGGGGGCAGAGAGGCTGAAGGCCCGAAATCTTTTTAAAGACTTCTTTTTCAAGTAGAAATCCCAACAGAGGAGGTAACCTCGCCATTGATGTCGCTTATAAAAGTCGGTAACAAAGAAATGCAATTTCTCTGAACGCCAGCTTTGACCTCGGTTTAAATGGAGTGTTCTGATACCATCATTATGGGCAATGACAGTCTCACGGGGAAACTTATACTTGAGTATAAATTCCACCACTAATGTCAAGCCCATGGATGTACAGCAATAGACAGATCAGTAGCTCCCATGGTCTCAAGGAAGGAGAATGGGAGTTAATTGCTTTGATGTCTAATTCTACTCATTTGTCAAAATTAAATTGAGCTGCGATATTCAAGTCTCTGATGAAATATCAAATTTCAGTAAGCATATCAAGGACCTTACATACAAAGGCATTGTATGTAACCCAGAATCTGAATCTGCTTGGACCAGCTGATGAAAAGCATCTCGATACAGGGCTGAAAATTTACCCCTAAAATGTGTTAGAATGGATGAACTGGGGCTGAAATGAATGAAGGTTAAGAGACCTGATAGAGGGTTTTGAAATTATGGAGCGGTGGGAGGGTGGTGGTGGGGTGGGGATGGCGGGGTGGAGCGGGTGGTTGACCACGTAAACAGGGAGAAATTATTTCCACTGGTCAGTGAGTCAGAAACTTGGGTGCACAGTTTTAAGGAAATCACCAAAAGTGCAAAGGGAGAAGTTCGAAGACCGTTTTTACACAGGTTGCTATGACGTGGAATGCACAACTTGGAACTGTGGTTGAGAAAGAATCCATATCAGCTTTTAGAAGTAGATAAATATCTGAAAAGGAGAAATGTGAAAAGGCAGGAGAATGGGATAAATGGAAAGCTTTTTCAGACAGAGTACACACCCAACGGGCCAAATGACCTCTGGGCTGTAAATTTCTATGGTTCTATGCTTTATTGCCTTATTATTATTATTTTACTGCCTGCAGACTGAGGGGAGAAATATAAACCGCAGGCAGTGGATAGGACATAATAGTTGGATTTCAATGCATACATTTCACCCGGGATTACTTTTATGTACATGCTTCCTTGGGAAAAAAATCTCAGGCTTTTTTTTATTAAAGCAGCTTGAAGCTACCTTTATGAATACTGGAGAAAGGGGCAGAATTCAGTTGCCCTTAAGAAGCAGCTATATCTGGATGAGGGAACATACACCACAGGGCTTGATGAGAGTAAAATGTCTCATTTCTCTGAACAGAAGCACCATGTCGATGGCAAAGAAAAGGGAGCATACAAAATGAAAAGAAGACAAAACTAAGAGAAAAAGACCCAAGAGGTTATTACCAACTCAGCCTGCAACTGTGGTTCTAATGCAGAGTTTTCTTCTGAAACCCAGCGCATATAACATTAACTTGTGAAGTTCGGCTAATAGCTGCTGAAATGTTTTGTTATTAGACAGTTACAGTTAAGTGGTGTGGGGTAGAGCTGGGCAATGAGTATGAACGTACAGCTTTCTCCGAGGGCAGGTGCACATACAATGAGCTCAATAATAATAATAGTTGCATTTGATGTAGCGCCTTAGCATATCTTCGAGATGTCTCAAAGTACTTCACACAATATACTGTAAAGTGAATTGACTGTATATTTTGTGGGTAAAACGTGGCAGCCAATTGCGCACAGCAGTGTCACACAAACAGTTGTGGATTGAAGTAAACTATTTATTTTAATTTTTTTCCTACTTACTGCTAGATAAGCAATGTGGAGTAAGGAAACTTGCCCAATATTCCACCCTGCCGGTAATCGAATCCAGGTCTCTTGCTTGCTAAGCAAGTGCTTTAACCACTGAGCGACAGGACTCCTACAGTGCAATGGCCTTCTGCCCTGTAGGATTCTATGATTCTATTACGTAAGCAAGGCAGGAGGCTCACAGAATCATAACAAATTTAACAAACAATTTTGCTAAGATTTATCATTTTAACCCTCTCCTACTTTAAATCTTTGAGAAAATTGATAACATCAGTTATGTGTATGAGTTTAAAAAAAACACTACCGACAAATAAGATTATAGAAAATAAAAGTATACATATTAAAGTAAGTTGAAAACAAATTAACTTAAAAACGCCAATGACTAAGAACAATGTGATTTCAGTCCCTGGATCCGGTTCTCTGACTGACGTAATGTGTTGTTCAGATGCTTTGACCACGCAGACCGTCTCTGCCTTAAGTTATTACCCAGCAACACCTATCCTTGCTTACCAGCTTCCATTGACAGATCATCATGTCTTAGGTTGTGTATCACATATGAGGTTGTGTACTCACATATAAGTTTGAGATCTCAAGGGTACTCGCTTGGCACTGATAATTTCTTCAATTGCAAGTACTACGTGCACTCTTATTGTGTGAATCTTTTCAGGCAAAATATAACTCACCCAAGGCTAAGGGGATTAATTATACTTTAGGGGAACTCTATAACTAGACTTAGATTTGTGCCAGGTGGGCAGCAAACAGTCTAATGCCAAGTAAATAACCTTTTATCTTAAGAGTCCATTAGCACTGCCTTGTTTTTTTTAAAAAAACACATTCTCTCTTCCTTGAAGCGTTTCCTCTTAGTTTCCACTTATGCTAAATTACACTACCAGAGAGTTCCGCACACCTTGTTGATCTTCCTTGCAGCACTGCAGCAAAACACGGACCATTTAACAAGGCAGTGAGTTTCTGAGGATTGTAGGACTTAATGCAACATCCATAAGAGAATGGGAGCATTGGACTATAATTGCAGTGAAATGAACAGAGAGGAGCCATAGTCATACTTACAGGGGAAAGTGTTATTGATCTGCTCCATAACATCCGTAAGATCTGTATTCGTATCCTGAGGTGGAATCAATAAGTCATCTGAAAACAGGACAGTAAGGGCCGTTACCGCAAAAACTAATCTGATAAGATTTGTTTCAAAGGAGGGGTAGAATCAAGAGTGAACAACATAGATATGTCATGACAGGTTATTACTGTCTGTGCTAGTTACTTTTACAAATGAGGAATGTTAAATGATGAGTGTTTAAAGCAAGGCACGTCTATCAATGTTGGAATTTTCCAGTTAATTTCCCCCAACTTCTGGTCATCATTCAGATATAATTCTTTCCCTGTGGATAAGGAGCGCTCCTCTGGTGTTCTCAGTCCTGCTGCATGGTACATAAATCACAGTCACTATATGTCACAATAAATCCTGTGAAACGTTACAAGACAGCCTCCTGCCATGATAGGTGCTATATCCACTGTAAGGATCATCATTACATGCATCTTTTGGCTCCAAATAAGTGGTTCTATTCTGGAGCATGAACTCCGGAGGGTTGGGGTAAAAATTAAAGTCTTCCAGAATAGATCCACTTTTGCTGGATGCAATGTAATGAGGATCCTTACATCCTACACCAGTGCCTGTATTCCAGGGTATAGCTACACAGTCGGCCATCAGCAACATAGACTTTCTGTGAAACATTGAGTTGCTGTGCTGATAGCCAACCTGCTCCGCGCTCCATGCTTACATGCCAAGTTGATTGCAAGGATGTCCAGTTACATGCAGACACTATCCCCAGGTGAACACTATCTCCCAAGAGGAAGATATTGATGGTCAAAGAAAGAAATGGTGGTGGGACCAGCTACTGAAGTCGCTCACACTTGTGTCAATCAACCATTAAGATCAACATGTGACATGTAACATGAATTTCCTGATCTGAGAAAACGCACCACAGAAAATGGAGTCTAAAACGTGGCAATTTTCAACAGAATTCCTAACAGTACTGACTCTCAAATTGGGATTTCTTCCAGTAAACAACAGTATTCTGACCCACAGGAACTCCACTCCATATGGAATTCTGTGTTAACCTCTCATGTCGGGGATGGGAATATAGGCAAGGATTCAATCTCAGATCTAATCATTTGCAGCACAAATGCATCAATAAAAAATACGATTTCATGATATCTGAATGGAACAATGGACCCACTTAAAACAATAATATGATACTCGGCTCACCAAAAAGAGATAAGTACCTCTCAAATATAAGTGTAAGTGGATTAAGCATTCTCCCAAAGAAATGAAATGGTCAATTTGTTAAATTTAAACCTACAACCAACAATAATAGAGTTGATAGAGTGTTGCATGTCAGGAGGACATTTCAGAATATTTCACCCAGCTAACTGTTCACCCAAGCTGGGCAGCGTTTGAAGGAGGGTGGGGGTGGGGGGAAGCCATTGTAACCAAAAGGATGGTTAGAATGAAAGGTCTTAAATCAAGCTTTAAAGATGGGGAGAGAGGGACCCCGGATAAAGTTCCCGAGAGTGGAGGGCTGAATGGCTGAAAGGTAGGTGTACCGAGGTGAAAGATGAAGCACCACAGTGCCTCTGTGGGTGGCTGGTTTGAAACTATTGCTTAAGCTACTTCTCAGGCAATTTGAAACTAGTCAGAGTGACAGGTACAGAGGTGCAGGTTAGCCTTCTTGGGCCTCAGTAGCAATGCGATCAGGTTGATATTGGAGTCACAACTGTGCTGCAACCTCAGGGCCTGCCAGTACACAAGACATGCAACTATTATATTGATAATTTTGTTTAAACCAATACCTCCTAGGAAATTTGTGATTTCTTTAAAAACTGAAATCTGAAGCTGTCACTCTTAATCCATTGTGTGCTATAAGGTACATCTGCACACCTTCAAGGCAGCCACCTGCAATGTGGATTAACCACTGTCACAACAGGAGGAGGAAGAGACAGTCTGATTGACAGCAAAAATAAAATCCTCTTTCACATCCAGGGTTGAGTTTATAGCCGAAAGGCATGTCGGTGTTGCTGGCTTGATGCAGCATGTACAGTAATACTGTCTGTGGCAGCTTTTTTCACTTTCTTTACACTCATCATTGTAGTCAGTCAGTGCATCTCGTCATTCATTTCGCACACAAGTTAACCTTCGGATTTTCTTCTTACTAACCCAAGAGTTTTCAATGGCCAATAATTAACGGTTACCACAGCCTTTCTTTCCTATATAAAATAACCTAGCAAGTAAGCTTCCATTCATGATGAGGTTCTAGGTTTGAGTGAAGTGCACACTGAATTCATAAAGCATTCTGTGGATCACAATAGCTCTGGGGAAAATGGAAAGGTAACCAGCGCTGGATAAGTGATGTGGGATTTAAAGTCGTGGATATTCTGAAGCTATACATGGCTTACCTTTGGGAAGCAAGGAGAAACCTTGCATAACCTTTCCTGAGGAGGTTTGGAATAAGGATTGGTAAGTAAGGAATTGAACAGTAAGGAATGGAATCCATCCCAGTGTCCGTCCACTCACCCCCTCCCTTCCCAACTTTAAAACCTGCCTGAAGACTTTTCTTTTCAACTGTGTTTTTAGCTCCCCCCTCCCCCCAGCCCTCACTTTCCTCCACTCAAAGCTGGCTCTGTGCACCCCTCTGAGACACTGCCTGGAGTGAAAGGCACTACATAAGTGTAAAATTGTTGTTGATAGAATAATAAGAATTACAGTAGAGACAGAAGTGATTTAGGCCAATTATGCCTAAGCTGGTGTGGTCATCTCCTCTACTGCACTAATTCCCTGCTCATTCCTCTCACATTATTGCTGCAAGTTGTTTCTTTTCAATTAAGTAGATTGTCTGTGGTCTGTGGAAGGGTCTGACTTGCTGCCCTGCGCTCTTATATCATTACCCAAATACTAGGCACATCCCTTGGAACCAGATGGGTGACAAGCCTAATTTCAACCATTTGCCTGATGTATAGGACACTTTATGTACTGTTGCACTTCAGGTCAACTTGCAGTTTTTTTCATCCAACGCTAACCTGTCTGTGAGCTGAAGTCCTCATTGAAGAGCTGGCCATACTCAGATAGCTGAAAGGAGGTGGATGGAGAAACGGCAGCAACCCCGTTCACTTTGGGATCGGTCGATGGCTATATTAAAAAAAAATTCAACAGTGTAAGTCAGATCGTTCAATAAATTTATACTGGAAGTTGTTGATTTTTACAAGGCTGGCAAGGATTTCTAAGTATATTAAAAGCTGTCGGCAATATAACATTTACCATCATTGGGACACCATTTTTATAGCCCCGTCCTTCTGTTCACAGATAATAATAATGCTTGACAATCGTTTTGATGACATCTTATCATGTCATCAAAATCTCTCAAGAGCGCTTCACAGGATTATAATAATAATCATTGCATTTGACATAGCGCTTTTCACGACTTCTAGATGTCTCAAAGCGCTTCACAGAATATGCTGTAAAGTGAATTGACTGTAATATTTGTGGGCAAAACGCAGCAGCAGCCAATTGCGCACAGACAGTCGTGGATTGAAAATGACCAATTTATTATTGTTTTGTTTTTTGGAGGGATTATTATTAGATGTGTGGAGTAAGGAAACTTGCCCAAGGTTTCGCCCTGTCTGGAATTGAATCCAGGTGTCTCTCTTGCAAGGCGAGTGCTCTAACCACTGAGCTACAGGACTCCACAAATTACTGCAAAGTCAGCGAACAAATAAAAATTTTATGTACATACGTGTTATTCTGAGCCTAGACACTACAGTATAGTCTTCTCAGTACAACAGTTAGTAAATGGAACTAGTCTGTAATCAACTCTGTAACCCCATCACCTCAGTCCTTGCCAGGCTCCATATTGCAGAACAGATCGATTTTAAGATCCTCACACTTGCGTACAAATCACTTCAACTCTGGCACCTCCCTGCTTACACCCCACTCCTCTATCTAAGAACATAAGAATTTGATAAGACGAAAGAAGACCAAGGTCCATCTAGGATGCCTTCCACCATCCTGGCAGTCGCTTGACATGTTGTGTCCCAAACTATATACTGCATCCCAACATATTATTTTCTAGCAGAAAATCTATCTAATTTGTTCTTAAAACAAACATTTTCTGCTTCCACTGTCTCCTTAGGGAGCCTGTTCCATAAGTTTACTCTCGCTCACTGAAGTAATGTTTCCGCAGATTTGTTCTGAATTTACGCACCCTTCAATCGCAGGCTGTGTACTCTAGTTCTACTGTTCGGTACAAGAAAAACAGCTGATCATGGTCTACATCATGGTCACTGTGCTTGTGATTCCTAGCTCCAGGTCGTTTATGAAGATGTTAAATAAAAGAGGTCCCAAAACACACTCCTGTGGAACTCCACTGGTAACATTCTCCCAGCCTGATGACATTCCCTAAACCACCACCTTCTGGGTTTTCCCCTTCATAAACTCATATTGGCTATCTTTTATCATTTTATCTTTTACCTGCCCCCTTTGTTCAGCTGGCTTTCGCCTCCTTATCTCCGCATTCCACTATCAGCGGCTGTCCTTTCAGCCACTGTAATCCTAGACTCTGGAACTCTGCCTAAATCCGTCTGTTTTACCCTCTCCTTGACCATTTTCAGATCACGCCTGAAGACTTCCCTCTTCACCAGTGCATATGATCACCTCCCGTCTCTCCTGAGCTCAGGGTCAAGTGCTCTGAAACTTTACCACTATATAAATGCAAGTTGTTGTTGATGTTGTTGAATGACAATATCAATGTAAGACATGGATATGGGATAGGTAAGATCTCGCAAGCTACAAAAACAGTTAATGTCTCCTGCCTCCAATGAATCTGGTGGTTTGGCTTAATGCCCAGAGAGTTCACCTCTTTGCTGATCTTACTTGAAATACAACGACTGAGAGACTAAATGCAGCCGCTTCAACTAACTAGTTAAAGAAAGCTCTAACCAAAATGCTAATTAACACAGAATATTTGTCACAGCATTGTTCAGATCTTGTTGAATGGATCAACCAAGAACATAGCAGCCACAGAGCAAGTGTTATTCAATGACCATGGATTAACTGAGTTTTTTGATTGGGGGCAAGTTTGCAGGGCTACAGGGAGAGAGGAGAGTGTGATTGATTTGGATAGCTCTTTTCAAAGAGCCGTCACAGACCTGATGGGCCGAATGGCCTCCTTCTGTGCTGTATAATTCTATGAGCAGAGCTGCTTTCCCATCAACTCACCTTTCTTGGGACAAACTTGTCATTTTTAAAATAGCTAGATCCATTTCACTTTTTAAAAACAGCGTGTTTTCATTATAAACACATAGAACAGCTCAGAAATGTTGCAATCTTACCATCCCCACAACCAAAAACTGTTGCATGCAATAGCTCAAGATGTGCGGATACACAATATTCTCCTCGAGAACAAATGAGCCAATATTTCACAAGTCACAGGAAACAAACTACCACTGCAGCTGAGGGACATTGTGGTACAAACCATTTCAACTGCGATGAGGTGAACGAATTTCAGAATGTTTAAAGCCAAAGGCTTTATTGTACACTCAAGGTCATATGAGGATCAGTAGTTTACACCCATAGCTCCATCACTACAATGAATAGGTAAACATTCCCTGGCAAGGTAATAGCATTGGTCCTAACAAAGGTAATACAAAACCACTTTATACACCGTGGAGCAAGGCTTCTGTCCTTTCAGCTCTAATGAGGCTAATGTAATAGGCCAGCAGCTACCCTTTTACTCCTCCATATTGGCAACAAAACATCATATTTAAAGTGTCACATGGTTGGAATTAAAAAAAACACTACTTTTAACATCAAGAGTCACTCTAATTAAAAATAAAGATGAGTCAAGTTTCTAACTGCCAAAAAGAATGATTACTACAACAACATTACATTTATATAGTGCCTTTCACGTCGGGAGGACGTCCCAAGGCACTGGACAGTGTACAGCTTTTCAGACCCAAGCTGGGGTCAGACGGGGAGAAGGGAGGGGAGGGGAAGGGGGTTGACCAATGGCATGGTCGAAGAGGAGGGTTTTGAGGCGGGACTTGAAGGAGGCTAAGGAGGGGTCGAGGCGGAGTGACTGGGGGATGGAATTCCAGAGTTTGAGGGCAGAGTGGCTGAAGGCTCTCCCACCAATGGTGGGGTGGGTGGGTCGGGGGACGTGGAGCAGGCCAGAGCCGGCTGAATGGAGAGAGAGGGTCGGCTGGTAGGGGGTTAGGAGGTCAGAGGTAGGGTGGGGCGAGGCCATGGAGGGCTTTGTGGGTGAGAACCAGGATCTTGAACTGGATCCTCTGAAGGATAGGGAGCCAATGGAGTCGGGCGAGAGTGGGGGAGATGGGGTCACGGAATTTGGTGCGGGAGAGGACACGGGCTGCAGAGTTCTGGATTATCTGCCGCCTGTGGAGGGAGGATAAAAACAGATTATTTTACTTGAAACTATGACCATGGAGTAAGCGAGTACAAAATTAGCGAGCCTCGTAAAAACGTTATTTCTAGAAATGTTTCTCCTGAGAGCAACAGATATTTGGATCCCAACAAAACGTGGTTTAATACCTTCACAATGAAAAAGGCTCGATAACTCTGTGACTGGGACAGAAGGTTAAAGGAGGAAGAATAGAGAAATACTGACTCTCTGTGAAACACAATGGTTCGAATTCCTGCCAGAGCCATGCAAATGTCACTGCATCTGGTTGAACCATGTGGATTGAATGTGCAGGAAGGAGCATTGGGTTTAAAGTTCAAATAAGAGCCCATAAGGAGAAATTACAGAGCCTCCTCTCTTTGCAATTGTACCTGTGTTTCTTCATTACGTTTAGTAAGTTATCTGGAATTCACTATGGTACAATTGGAAGGGATGGGTTCACGAGCTGAATCAAAGGACATTAATGGAAAGAAATCACAGCTTCTCCCCATCCAAAGTGGAAACAAAACATTTTCGAAAGATTCTTTCAAGAAAGTTGTGAGGACTTTGGGCTAACAAGCCATTCAGAATTGCGCAATTTTATTACAGGTCAATACTGGCTGGGTTCAGCCACTGTAGATTGTTTTGCAGCTTTGAGAAGCTACTCCAGCTATTGCACCCCCACCCATCCTTTCATTATTCCTGGGCTTCAGGCAAAGTGAGCTCTATTGTGAGTGAACATACATACACACCGAGATGTAAGTGGCAATCAATACTCCTAGTTATTGACTGGCTCTCTGTTGGTTCTTGGTTCCAGTCAGTCTACTTTGCCTGACAGGATAAATTGCACAGAATGTCACTTTGTTCACTAAGTGACATGTCCTGTGGCGTTCTGAATTCATGGAAAATTACATTTAAATTCTCAATTCCATTTTCCACATGATGGGAAGCTTAAGACTCATCTCTTTTACTGCGCTTTTGGTCATCTCCTCCCTCCCCCACCCAAGTTCGGGTGACCAGTCAACTGTGTGAAGCACTTTCCCTTCGAGACATCCTCCCGCCGTGACAGGTGCAATATAAATGCAAATGGCGTTGATGGTGCTGCATTGTACATTCCTGGTTATTACCTTCCTCAATTATTGCGTGGAGTGGAAAGCCAGGGACGATTTTTGCAGAGCCATCATGTGAAAACTCTCAGATGTGGTATTGAGTGGCCAGGCTGTGACATTCCTGACTCAGGCACAGAGATGGTAATCTTTTCCACATGGTTACCTCGGCCAATGAGCTCAGGCTCAGCACATCAAGCAGATGTTGATGGTGTTGCATTGTACCTTCCTCGGCTATTACCTTCCTCAGTTATTGTGAGAAACGCCAAGGTTCCGGACCCGCTGAGTGAGGCAGAGCAGAAGAACCACAGATATTCACAGTGCATGGTTATAGCCTCTGCACAACTGCAACATTGGCTTTGCAGGAGAGGACACGAGCTGTAGAGTTCTGGATAATCTGCAGCTCGTGGAGGGAAGATTTGGGAAGGCCGACAAGCAGGGAGTTGACATAGTTGAGCCCAAGTGTGAATGAAGTTTTCAGCGGCCTGAGGTGACAGGCTGTGGCGGAGCCGGGCAATGTTGCGGAGTTGGGGGAAGGCAGAGTGGGTCATGGCACAAATGTGGGGTAGAAAGAACAGTTGAGGGTCAAACAAGACGCCAAGTTTCCGGACTGGCTGAGTGAGGCGGAGCAAGAGAACCATAAATATTCACAGCAGAAGGTCATTTGGCCCATTGTCTGCGTTGGCTCTTTTCAAGAACAATCCTTTCAATCAATTGTCTTCCTGTTCTGTGCAGTGAGAAGTGATTGGCCAGTGGCTATCAGGAAATCCCACATGTTAAATACTCTCTGGGCAGTTTCACATTAGGGTGACTTCACTTAGCTGCGTTATCGCTAAACTGCCAGGTGGTCACTGAAATGCATACACAGATGCCCACTTGAGAATGATCTTTTTTGTGCAAACATTTCAAAATTCCCACCAAATGGCTAGAAAACAGCAGCACGAGGTCGGACCGGAAAATACAACAACAATTTCAGGCAGGAGCAGCCCATTGTTCCACCAGCCACCCCAGCCAATTCCCACAGAATTCCTTCAAGGTATCTATCATTAAATCTAATATTCCCGAATCCTTTTAGCTGACAGGAACTTGTCTAATTCCCTGTGAATTTCTAGAGGCAGAGAGAGACCAGAAATACCTCATCTGCACGCAAATGATTTAGTTACTTCATTTGTCACAAGGTAAATTCAGAGGCAAATCTTCTGGCAGAGTTCTATTTGGATTCAGTGAACTTTTACATGAGGGATTTCTACTGTAGTTGGAGGTAGGAGCTTGGGGAGGTATAAGCCAGCAAAGGATCAGCAAAGTGAAGTACAGAATAGTGAGCTCAATCGTTCAATCATTGCTGATAGATTTTTCTTTTGAACTAAAGAACGCAGCCAATTATAAACTGAAAATAAGAAAGGCCTCAGCACCCCAAGGCCGTGCATTAGAATGAGACTTCATCCATTTACAGAGCAAATCACCTGCAAACTGCAATCAATTCCCTTTACTTGATGCTTCAATGACTCGTAGTATACAGCTCATAGCATCAGTCCCACTGGGAACCGAGAGTACAGAACCTTTTCTCTCTGTATCACACAATACAGTTCAAGATCCTGGTCCTCACCTTCAAAGTTCTTCATGGCCTTGCTCTCCCCTACCTCTGCGAACTAACCCACTACTAATCTGTCCGCTCCTTCACACTCAGCGGGCTCCGGCCTGCTTCACATCTCCCTGCCTCGCCTGTCCCACCATTGGCGGGTGAGTCTTCAGCCACTCTGCCCCGCCCCCTCCATCCCGTAGTAACTCTGCCTCGCCCCCTTCTTTGCCTCCTTCAAGACCTATCTCAAGTTCTGCTCTTTGACCGTCCTTCGATCACCCTCCTTCCCCCACTGCCCTCCGCCCCGCCTGATCCCGACCCCCAGCTCGGGTCCGAAACACTATTTGTCCAGTGCTTTGGGATGTCTTCCTGACGTGAAAGCCACTATACAAAAGTAATTTTGTTGTCGTTGCTGTTGTCATCTGACTAACAGTGACAGTGTATTAACTGGTACCTTTTGCCTTTGGGTTGAATATTGCCGTCTCTTCACTGATTCCTAAAGGTTCAATCTGGGCACCACCACATTAACACACATCATAAAGAAACCTGTAAACATTTGGGTGCTAGTAGAGGATTTCACCTCCCTTCTATAAACAGCACTTTACACCACACGTTGGCTGGAGAACGCAATCCTGCTATAATAAATAATGCAATAATAAGCCTTTTAACATTGGCGTGACTGGCTCCAAGGTGACATGCTTGCCAATGGAATGTTAGAATCCTGACCAAAGTAGGTCTGCAGTTTTCCAGGACATTGCTGATGACAGCACCGCCATCCAGGCTGATCAGCAGGACAAGGAAAGTCAGACTAGTCAGCTCCTGTTAATCCTGCAAATCAAAGCCCTAAAGGGGAGGGTTGTCTTAGCAGGACCAGCAGCAGGAAAGCTTGCCAGACTGTACTCTCAATGGCAAGCTATGCAGTTTTAGCTGGTTAGACTCCAGCAGTATCCCAACGCCTATTCTGGGTCCCAGCCTCGGATTTTGCCATTTCCAGCTCAATACTCTGTGGAATTAGGTAAGTAGGATGGGTCGCTTCAGGGAACGCCAGTAGCCATTCCAGATATGGGAATTTGGATGTGTAGGCAGCATATAAATGTGGAACTTAAGATACTTCAGATACTCTTCAGCATGGTGACGGGCTTCTGCATGTTTCAAATACCTGGCTTTCCCACCAGTGGTTATTACCTCTTCCAGTAGTTTACGCAGACGACACAGCTGTGACTCCAATTGCTTGTTGTGATCCTCCAGGATCTGCATCCTGGCTTCCAGCCTCCCCTTGTGCTGTCGCAGGAGCTTGGCCTCGGCCAGGAGCTCAGCATCCTGGGGGCTCTGCTGGGTGGGAGAGAAAGGGTCGTGTGGAGATGACGGATTGAGCCCCTTCAGCAGGTGCTGCTGTTTTAAACGCTCGTATTCAGCTTGCAGAGTCCTGTGAGGGCAGGAAGGATGAGAATTAATTGCAAATGCAGCTGCCACGCACAGGGCTGCTGTGCACAATACGTGGCATACAGCGTACACACATAGAGCTGTCACGCATACCACCCGGCGCACTGTGTACACACGCAGGAATGTCACACACATGTGGCACACAGTATACACACAGGAATGTCACGCACAATATGCGACACATGCGGACACACAAGACTAACACACAGCAGTCCTGCCACACAGATAGAAGCACTGAATAATTCAGTAAAATCATGGTCCCGCACAGCGTCCTCTTGCTCAAGCCCACATTGTGTAAGATAGCTGGCAATAAATCTAATGAATTAATGCAGCAGGAGGAGAATATGTTAATCAGGAAATTTATGGAGTGGATGGATATTCATCGGTTATAAAAACCAGGCTGAGAGAGCGAGACTCATCTCTAATTAATATTTCCAGGTTATTTAAACAAACCTTGTGAAGTAGATGGATGGCTTCAGTTTCCACCTACAGATCTGTCAGTGTAACATTTATTGGTTGGCCTAAAGAAATATATTACTTTATAATCATCTATGCACAATTGGCATGGTTCATGTTCACAGACATTTATAAATACCATGCTTCAGATACATACGTTTAGCATTCTAGCATGGGAGAGTTTATTAAATGAAATAAATGAAAATGTGGAAATGAATCGAGATGATACGGTCATTAAGAATCAGTTCACCAGTAACTTTCTTCAAAATCTGTCCGTTCCTCACATTTCCTTAAAAACACAGCTCCATTGAAAAGGTTACACTTGACGTACTTGTGAGAGGGAATACAAATGACATCAAAATCTCTTCACTTTATGACCCTGCTACCCATCCTTAAAATCTCTTTGATCAAAAATCTCAGTGATTCTGATTGTTTTTCTGAAGGGTTTTGAGATGTTAGTGTGGCACAAGGTCAACTTTGCTAATGCTACAGAAATATGCTTAATCAATTTTTGCTGCAGAAATAACTAAAAGGTTTTCAATCTCTTTCCCCATCGACAGTACATTATTGTCCATTCCGAAACTCAGTTTTAACCAGTACAAGGTTACATCAACAAAACACGACTGAGGTGAGCAGCAATGAATCCTTTTAACAGGGGTGACAGAAGGTCGCTAGATGCCGTAAAAGAAGACAGGATCTTACAGAGAAACAATTTTCCCCTCCCCATTTGAAATTCACGCTCATCCAGGTGTTGGGGGTGTTCATGCTGGGACCTGGGACATTTTCCTTTTTAAGTGCTCACCAACAAGTGCTCCCAGATCACAAACAGCTCAGCCAGATCAAGAGTAAAGACACTTCTCTCTTCACAATGGTCCTAATCCCCAACCTCAAAAGAGCATGCTATTGCCACTTCCCACACCAGCTGTCCTGTGGCCTGAATGAAATTGCCAATTTAGGTTGAATTAAGCACATTTTTGCTGTGAACTCACACCTGCTAAGAGCTGGGTTGGGACTGTCCAAACTGATTTCACACAAGGCCCTGACAGCCAGTTAGCAGAGGAGAACATCATCAGATCTACAATGAATTCAGACCCAGCTCCCAGAATTGTGTTAACCCAATGAAGCCCTCAGATTTCATACATTAAGAATATTATACTGTAATAACTGTTTGGCTCTTGCACTATCCCCATGTTGAAAGCAGTCATTCTTTCAAGTGGCAAAGACAAGCTTTTCATTACTCAGGTATTCCCATTCAGATGAAATGCAACACTTCTCATTGGTACTCTGAGCTCACATGTTTAAACCATTTGTATTGGTCACAGCAACCTTTCCCTGATAAATGTGAATGTCTTTGTGTCCGGTTGTCCCCTTTGTAATCGTCCGTGCCTAAGCTCAGATAGTTTGTACCTAAGGGTGAGGTTCGGGTTTTTTGTTCAATCATTAATGCTTTGCAGCTGCCATCATATTCAGAAAAGCACATCAGATGTGTTGTGTTAATGCACTGCCCACAAGTCTTAGCAGGGTAAAACCTAGCAGCAAAGAAAGGACTTTCGGCAGAGAAGGCCACCGAATCACTCATACCTCTCCTCTTTTTGTCACATATGGATTATACTTCACAACAATCTTTAAATGCTAGTCACAGCTTCATTTCTGATTCATACGTTAGCAGTTTAATCTTTGAGAGGTTTTTGAAGAAAAAAATATTTTCCATCCTACCCCACACAACTTTTAAAAAGAAAAAAATCCACAAGCTTTGAATTCATGAAACAGATTCCAATCGGTGAAGCAGAAATTGTGCGGAGAGTTCGGTGTTTAGCAGAATTTTTCTTTTGAAACTAGGATTTTATATATTTTTTCAGGCAGCACAAACTGGGACTGTTGATAAGCAATGTTAATAGGAAGGAATAATTCCCCCATCACTGTATTTACTTATCGAGAGAAGCAGGCCTGGACTTCCTCATTAAAGTCGAGGTAAGCACAGCCTTTCTGGGTTCATTGTTTTCTACATGCTACCATCCACCACATTTCACCCGGAAAATATTCAGTCAATTCACTTTGCAGCATATTCTGCGAAATGCTTGGAGACGTCTCAATGGTGTGATATGGAGAAAAAAAAAGAATTTTTTAACATCTCAAATTGAAGGTTGCTAGTACTGGGTAATCCTACAAACTTTACAGCACAGGAGAGAGGGGATCATTTGGCTTATCAAGTTTGTGCTGGTATTGACTCCCTTCCACCTACTCTAATAATGGAAACGTTTGCATTTCAAATACCAAGCGATGTGTCACCATCAAGAACTCCCAGATCACTTACAGGATGGCGAACAGGCCACAGGTACAGGAGGAGGCCATTCAGCCCATCGAGCTTGTTCCACCAATATTAGATATTGGCAGATTACAAACACTGAACCCTGGAACCCACAATCGTCACACACTGGCAGTCATGATCGTGAGGAACATTTGTTACACGCTGAAGTCTTCTAAAACAATATTCTAAGTCACAATTATGATGTGATTTGGGGACTGGTTCTTGGTCAGAAGATCCCAAATTGCAAATCCATCAATTACGGTCACGGAATTGCATTTGGTGCAGTGACATAGCCCAATTGCAAACCCATATTTTTGCCCTTGGTGTAAAGTTTAATTAAAAGCTAGCAGAAGAGATTCCACTAAAAGACCTCCTCTCAGAATTAGTTTTCAGGATAACTAACATCAAGTCAGAAGAAAGTTCTGGTGAAATCACTGAATAAGTAAAAAAAAGCAAGCAATAACTCGTCTTTACCTTTGCTCCTCTTCAAGGTCGGCAATAATGTGTTCCAGCTCTCCTTGTTCTTCCTTCTGCACGGACTTCAGGATCTGGGCAGGGCTCTGTGGCTGGCTGATGGGAGACTCTCTTCCCAGTGTCTGACAGTAATGTTGGATCAACGTGTGCTCATCGTCTCTGCACCACAAACATACAAGACAGACTCATTTCACACTCTTCCTCTTCCTCGGACAGACTTTTTCACTACTTTACTCACACTAAGCGGGAAGCATGTCAGATGCCCATCAGCCACATGCCAGTTCAAGCTGTGAACAAATGAATCTTATTGATTCAATTACACCTCAAAGGAACAAAATTCATTCACCAACTCGCTGGGGTGTTTATTGTGCACCTCAGTGACGGGCTGGTTTGAGCAGTAGGCCATTTTAAGTGGTGATCAATAAAAATGATATCTTCTGCCGCCTGTTGAGCAGCTGCCCTTTCCCAGTCAGAAATTGCTCTAATCACTTACATGCTTCCTGTGGTCGAGCTGCTGTCTGTGAGCATGGAGCCATTGGTTCTTTCCATCTGTGCCAACCTGAGCGAAAGAGGAGATAGTATATCATTCCATAAACAATCAAAAAGAAACTAAAAATGATCAATAAATAATAATTAATCCTTGCATTTCAGGTCAGGAGGATGTCTCAAAGTGCTCCACAGAATATACTGTGAAGTGCAGTGACTGTGTATTTGTAGGTGAACCCACACGGTTGTCATTATCTCTCAGGGGAGGGGATGGAGTCAAAATTACAGGAAGAGTGGCAGGACTCATTTGGTAGCATTCTTGCCTCTGAGTCAGACAGCTGTGGATTCGAGCCGCATGTTAGAACTAACATAGTTTAACCTGACACTTCAGCACAGTGCTGTATTGTTGGGAGGTGTCTTCATTATCTCCAGGCTCGACTATGCAAACGCCCTACTTGTCGGCCTTCCCAACTTCTCCCTCCACAGGCTGCAGATAATCCAGAACTCTGCAGCCCGTGTCCTCTCCTGCACCAATCTCCATGACCCCATCTCCCCCACTCTTGCCCGACTCCATTGGCTCTCTATCCTTCAGAAGATCCAGTTCAAGATCCTGGTCCTTACATACAAAGCCCTCTATGGCCTCGCCCCACCCTACCTCTGCGACCTCCTAACCTCCTACCAGCCCGCCCATTCCCTCCGCTCAGCCGGCTCTGGCCTGCTCCACGTCACCCGACCCACCCGTCCCACCATTGGCAGGAGAGCCTTCAGCTACTCTGCCCCCAACCTCTGGAATTCCATCCCACAGTCACTCCGCCTCACCCCCTCCTTAGCCTCCTTCAAGTCCCGCCTCAAGACCCTCCTCTTCGACCATGCCATTGGCCACCCCCCTTCCCCCCCTCTGACCCCAGCTCGGGTCTGAAATGCTGTACTCTGTCCAGTGTCTTGAGACATCCTCCCGACGTGAAAGGCACTATACAAATGTAATCTTCTTGTTGTTTTGTCATCCTCCAGATTAAACTTTAAACCGAGGTCCTGTCTGTTGGGGTGGATGTTAAAAGATTCTGTGGCATTATTCAAAAATGGAAGGCAGTTTCTCCCGGTGTCCTGTCTATCAATCCCCCAAATAAAATAGGTCAATCAATCCATGGTTGGGACTTTGGTACATGCAAAATGGCTGCCATATTCGCCTACAAAAAAATCACTGCACTCAACAGTAATCAAAGCGTTTAGATACGTCTTCACCTGATAAGGTACAAAGAAAATGTCACAGAGGTAAGATGGGGTGAGGCTATGGAGAGACAATGTAAGGACGAGGATCTTGAATTCAACAGTCTTCATGGAAGAGTTTCTGGCAACCTTGTTTGTTTGGGGGAAGAACCACCCTCATTGGTCACAATGGATTCAAAGGGAAGGAAAGTTCAATAAACATGTTTTTCATACATGTAGTGCCTGCCCCTTCACCATTGAACTGGAACCCTAAAATTGAGTGTTTCTCACTTTCTGCACATTTTACTTTGGACTGAAATGGCACAGATTTACTCAGAGGTCACAGTTTTTTTTAAAAAAAGAACTACCTAAAATATACACATTATATATTAAAATCTACCCATTAAACCTCAAAGACAAAAATATCTTCAGTTCTGGAGACAATATGAGGAATGAAGCATTTAACCACAGATGAGAATTGCAGTGGGGAACTGCAGGATCTCAGGCAAGTGTTAATTCAGAGTTGTCTTTCACCACTCAGTCTCCAAACACATCGCCATTCAAAAACGTGGTGTGCTTGAAATGTCAGCCTCAGCAAATCCAGCATTACTAAATAGGAGACCGAAACTTGTAAGGTGATAGCTTTTTGATAGCTATCGTTCACAAAAGAAAAACCTACAGCTTTAAGCGTTTAATTTGACATCGAATCTAATCCTTCAGTGCTGCTAATTGAAAGATGATTGGATACATTGTGCAAATTGAATTCAGGATTCAGTTCACAGCAACCTCCAAAGCCAGCGTTTACTAAAACCTCTGCTATCTGCAGCAACAATTCTGTGGCTGGCAGCACTAAAGCAAATGTCATTTTTGGCGTTCAACCTACGGGAGTTGCACTTTGAACAGTTCAGTTCAATGATGACAAGGTGACCTGGTGTTTCAATCTTCTCTTTTTGAATAGTGTTATGGGATCGTTAATGTCTCCTGAAGAATAGGCAGATGGGGACTTAAGCTAACATCTCATTCAGCAATGATAAGTTGAACTTTCAGCAGCTTTGTGATCTGGCGTCCTCTTAGCATTAAAAATTGTGCTTTTTGTTTGCAATGTTTTAATGGTGGGACATCCACTGTAAAGATTTAGTGGGAAAAGTGGCTTTTTCTTAGCAATCAGTGTGCATTAAACCTACAGATCTTAAAAGTGCTGGGTTGATATATACTGAAAACAGGTCACCCAGCACTTCAGGCAGTTCAATACATAAGCATAATCCTCGGACTTGATACCCCAACAGCATACTGAGTAATTGGAATTGCACTGATTCTCCTATCGGCCCTGTGTTAAAATGGACATTGAGCCATCAACGAAACGAGACTGATGTGATTGTGGGGCTTTGAAATGAGAATCAGATAACAGTTGCTACTGCAAGTCACTGACATAAGCAAATGGAAACCTGTATGTAGCACTCAATCATAAGGACGAAGCCCTCGTAATTTTTTTTGCTACATTTTATGTTCTGATGGGTGGAGAGTTCAGGAATAATCTCGTGGATAACATTCATCCTGGCAGGCCCTGTGCCAGAAGAGTGAGCTGGCAAGCTGGAGCCTATTCAAGAATCCATTTCCTATTCAGGGCTCCCCAGTGTGTTTAATCCTCATTCTCTGCAGTTATCAGGAATCAGCCTATGGCGTGGGTAAAGGTGGGGGAGCTTACAATTGGCCTCAATATTCTAGCTTGGAGGGAGAAGGGAAAATAAATTTAGTTACAGTTTCAGTTTACAGATTGTTAACTAACGACTCCTTTCAAAATGTGTGTGGATGTGGGTATCAATTGAAGACAGCCTTGGCTGTGATGCCCCTCCAGGCCTCATAGTGTGTTGCCTCCTACTGCCTACACTAAAACATGATAAATGAGAGGTACAGAAACACAGACAGCATCTCCAGAACCGTACTCCAGTCAACACAGCACCTCTTCATGAGAGGAGAACACTTTGAAAATTGCGTTTGTGTGCGTTTGTATGTGTGCTTGAATGAAGAAGAGATGTTTTTTAAAAAAGTTAAGATACAATCTTTTGAAGAGTCAGCCAAATTAAAACAGAGGGTAGATTAAAACAGATTTTGTAGATGCTGCATGACCTGTTGAGTGTTGCCAGCGACTTCTGTTTTTGTTTAAAACAAGAGGGTGGTGGTCAGAAAAGGATTTTTTTTTAAAAAGCATCTTGGAAAGTTTGGGGGGATGTAGAAAAGAACTTTTCTTTAAAGATGTATAGATTGCTTCCCCCTGTGTTCCAGCCAACAATTCTTCCCCGCCCCTCTCCCCTAATCTCCTGACGTATCTCTCTGCTTTGAGATCTCACTAACAAGCATCAGGTAACAGTGAGCTGGAGGTGTTGTGCTCAGTGACAGCCAGGCCAGATCAGCACCTCACTCGGCCAAACACTGCTGTCAGCGATGCAATGATTTATAAGACCCGTAGTGACTTTTACCTTTGGGTCGATGGCCTGTTGTAAAGTTACACGACAGAAACCAATTTCCTCCCTTCACAACCTGCAGAAGCACATTAGCATTTTAATGACGTAATCCTTTATTTTTACCTGCTGGCATAATGTTCTATCCGGGAATGAGTGTCATCATGGGACAGCTGTGGAGACTGTGTAGGGCTGCAGACAAAAGAAATAACTTGCTTTTTAATAAAAGAAACAAAGAAACGTCAGGGACTTTGAGTTACACAATTGGTATCGAGATAAATTAAATGAAAAACTGGTGTTATCGCCCTTCATGCCCTGTAAAGCGAATATCATTGGTGCGATAACATCACAGCTGCTTCCACCTCTCCCTCTAACTAGCTGTAAATCCACTTTAATCAAATATGTTAGGGCACACTTTTATGGACTGCAACAGTGCAGTGTGAGAAGCCTGGTATTTTGTTCTGTACAGAGGCTAACGGAATGTTTTAATTATTCAGCCATGTCTTCGGACAGTCACAGGAGGAAACGTTCCCACTGGCTGCGAATCGCTGGTGAAACCAGTAACTCTTGGGGTTGATTTTAATAACAAGTACACTAAAGGGCTTCTCCAACACACCATCCAGCCTAGCTTTTGGGAGAGAGGAAAAGAGCGAGCAAAAACACAGACGTTCACATGAAGCATCCTTCATGCTTACAATAATCCACATAAGAATGAGTTATTAATGTTTTTCTAAAGTAATTAATCTTGAAGCTGGTTACATGAAGAAAACAGACAATGGAGGGAAATAAAATCCCCGCTTTATCCCACTTGCAAGGAAGATCTTGATTGAAAACTTCCTTAGACTGGAAATAAAACAAGTCAGCCCCAGGGCGCTACCCAATCAAACAGCCGAGTTAAACTCAGACCAGATCTTCTGGATTGTAGTTGCACTGGAAGTTTAGTTAGTTCAGGAAGTAAATCATGGTTAGGATGAAGATGAGGGTCTTGGCATGCAGGAGAGTAAGAGGTCCATACTTACTCATACTGCTCAGGCCACATACTGATGAGCGTGACAGGGCTGCAAGAGAAAGGTGGAGGAAACCACAGAACAACCTTTAATACAACTCAAATCAGAATGCCGAAGAGCTGAGCCTTAACAAGGCAGAACCGTGTTCTCAGTCCAGCTGCTGAGAAAGGGAAGAAAGGAACTGTGGCACCAAATACTCAAGCCTGTGCATATCACCCACAGTCTGTCAGACCGTTTTGTAACATTTAATAAAAAAAATTTTGTTACATAACTTGTTTTCTTTTCCCTTCCATCCCGCTCACAGTATTTCCTTTCTCTTTAACATTCCTTTCCCCAAATTACATATGAGATGAGGAAGGAAGGATCATCCAGCCCTTGCATGGACAAGCTCGCATTTTTCACCGCCTGCACTTTGAACTATCAACGAGTTCAAGCCAATTTATTTAATCTCTTCAGAGATAAATTATTGTGGATAAGGCTTCACAAGAAGATTAATTTGTGAAATTTCTTACCTCCCACTTTCCCAGTGACTGGCATAACCTCATGAAACTGCAGGATATCAGTCTGATAGAACACCTGCATTATTCAAGCCTAACCAGCTGCATAGCATATGACATTTTCATCATCCCAAGTGCACAGGAAGTGCATTGCCCAGAGTATTTCATCATGTGTCTCTTATACTTATGACCTTCCATCCTTGATCACAGAGATACAACAAGCTCCTTTTTAAGAGTTGTTGATTTACAGATTATTAACAGCTTTTAAAAGCAATCTGTTCCACACATCAGCTCTACTATAAGTGTGATTATATATGTCCATCCAAGTAAGCTCAAGTGCGTGTGTAGTTGCTGTCTGTGTGAGAGTGTACTCAGGCAGAAATATACAGAGCATTTTAAAAAGACTTTCACTTAAACTTCTTCCCTCTCCTCCTCCCCCCCCATTCTGACCATGAAACTAACCTGCCAAACAACAGCTACTTTTTCCATGAAATTTCTATCTCAATATTTCCCAAAACTCCCATTGTTTATGAAAGAAATTAATTCTCTCCTGTTCAGAACATAGTGGAATTGTACAGCACAGAAGCCAGCCATTCAACCCATCGCATCTGAGCCAGTGATACCCGTTTATTTACATTTCTCTTCCTTAATCCCATATTTTTAATTTTTATCAAATATTTCTCTTTTGTTACGTGACCTTCTAAAATCCTGGGCAGGTTGGGTTTCATTTGGTGTTATTTTTCCTATTCTTTTCTCTCGTCTTCTCAGCACAGATCAGGGAGTGAACTGGGACCTGCGGCACAATGAGCAGCCTGGTCTGAGCTGAGAAAGCTCCCCTTCAATTGACCTCAATGTGCCAAGAGTGAGCGGAGCACCAGCTTCTGTTTGTTAAACTGTGATCAGGAAGCACTTCTGTACTCAGAACGTGTAGCAGCTGGAATAGATCACCAGGAAGACAGCTCACAGGACTCATTTAAGAATCAGCTCAATGTTATAATGGGAAGGCAGTAGCTTGGGTGTTTTGAGTTATTTTGATCTCTCCTGAAGATCCATCATGTGGACACAGAGAGGAGATAGAATGGAAGCTTGTTTGTGATGCCCCATTCCCTCTAGAGTCAAATAACCCCCACCCTTCCCCCATACACACACACACTTTTTCTTCCTCTTGGTTGACACACTGTATTAGTGGACAAACTTTCACCAGAAAGCAATGGATCACAAGCCTTTTGTCGCCAGTACTTGTGGCTGAGCCACAGCACAAAGACCGAGTGGAGGAGAGTTATAACTGTGGCCTGTCCAGCCCCGTTGAGAAATGCATTTTAAGGTTGTAGATTGTGAATCTGACCTTTTTTATATAAATAAAAACAAATCCTTGATATTTTAATGAATTATTTCTAGCCCAGGGATTTTATTGGAGTAACTCCTGCTGCGCACTGTTATTAGCACAGGCTTTGTGCTGCCTGTTCACGGGGGCAGTTGAACCTGATTGCAGTAATCTGCTATTGCTGAGGACATTCACATTAGATTGGCTCATCAACTCCAGCACCAATGTTACAGCAGTTCAACCAGGCAGAAAGGTGCTAATGGCAGTGCGGCTCACACAAAACGTTTAGGCATTTATGTTTCAGCTGAAAAAGGTTGAGTGCTACTTCATTTCCCAAAACTCACTTTCCTCTATTGGTTTAAAATCCTTTCACTCTTATTTTTCCACAACAACCCCACACACACGTACACACTCCCCAGCCCCCACTGTGTCACAAACCATTTCCCATGAAGGAGGCTTATGTTGCTTTTTAGCGTTTCCACTCTCAAACGCTAAAAAGCAACATAAACAAAATGGATTTGTTGTATTCATTGCAACTTCCTATTTGTTATTCATAATATTGAGATACACGATTCAACCCTACTCCTCCCCTCCCACCCAAATCATCCTCAAACATCAAACCACTGAAGCCCAAAACAAGACTCTGTATTGTTCTCTTCTCCCTGTGCCAGTCACAACTGTCCTTTCCTGGCTCAGGATTCAAAACTTGCTGGCTAGCTGTTTTTTTCTGGAGGGTGGTGGGGGTGGGGAAGAGTTCCAATTTCATATTCATGAATTGCAAACCAGGTGTTGTAATTAATGCAAGAAATCTGTTCACAAATCAAATTATGCAAATTTATCATCTTCACAGTGTTTATTGAGATGTGTGAACAAGTCGAGAGTAACCTGCAGTTCCACTCATTCTCCCTCCCCACCTACGTCTGTCCTTCCCCAACTTGTGAAGGCAGTACCTGATGTTGAGCTATTGGTTTCATGGACACTATCCGGTTTCTGGCACCTCAAACAAGCGCTCATTCTTTGAATGAAAGCTCAGCCAGTGATTGCAGCCAACCGTGATCCTGTCCTAACCCAAAAACTAGAAGCATGCAGACATCAATGGATAGTGATTGGAGCGGAACTCCTTTTGCCCTCCCCTGAGGTATTGAGCTTGATTGCAGCAATAAAAGCCTGCATTGCTGTCACAGCCAGGATCAGCTCATTTAGCATAGACTGATCAAGGATTGAACCCATGATCTTCCTGATCTGTGTGGCTCAGTTCACCCTCAGCAGTTCATCAATTGATCCACTGGGAATAGTTTTATGAGTGGAAATCATTGCTGACGTTAAAACATCATATTCCTATCATCCTTAAAATCTACGCTGCTAAAAACGATAGACAAAATATTAGAAGCCGCAGCTTGAGAATGAAAATCCCCATTCAGAAATGGAGCTCTCCTCTTCCCCCCACCCCCCAAAAAAATAATTTGTTATTTGATAAAAAATGTTCTGCATTGTTGTGAAGATAGTCTCTTGACACGCAGCTTATGGAAGTGAACTTAAAGCCCTTGATGCTGCAAATTGCTCTCTGTAATAATGCCTGGACTATTCAGTGAACGCAATGGATATATAATGGCTTATCACAAGTTCTAACCAAACTAATTATTCACTGATAAACTTTACATCATTACTTCTGTTTGCAAAAACAATAAATCTCGTAAACTCGCTTTCGTTGAATGCAGGATGTACATAAGAGGATGAACAAACCATAAACAAGCAAGAAATCCTCTACATATATTACACAAAGGTTGAGCACACAAGGGTTAAAAAATAGTAACCAAGGATAAAATCCTTGAGTGTTACTTTTTTTGTACTGGATATACTATATGTACTTACACCAAGAAATACAGATGATTTAAAATGAAGCCTGGTAGAATCTATAACAAATTGTTGTTCTCTGCAGCAGAGGATTTACTGAACACTCAAGTCACTTCACTAGTTACACAGACACTGCTATGTGGAGAGGGAAGGAGCGGGGAGGAGGAGGAAAAAGAGGGTGGGGGGGGCACACATGTGTGCAATCGGCCAGATAGACCCTTGTGGGGAATCATTTATTTCAGGAACAGATCTTGGTTCTGATTTCAAGGCTGTAATGGATCCCTCTACCAGAGGAAAGAGTCATCCACTATCTAACCTGCCAATTCCTTTCATTATTTTAAATTCCTTCAATCAAATCACGCCTTAATCTACTGCACTCTAAGGAATATAAGCCTAGTATATTTTGCCTCTCCTCTTCATAAGTGATGATACTTCCTGGCTTTGCGTTGGCCAGGCCACAGATGGGAAATCACATCTAACAGATGTTAATCCTGCAGCTCTCAAGATATGTCAATAACTGGTAAGTATCAGCATTGCTTTCATATATAGTATTGGAACTGGTAAGTATCAGCATTGCTTTCATATATAGTATTGGACTCCCACTGGATGTACATGCACGCTACCTTGGAGGTGACCACAGTGGTCACTGCTTCATGGTAACGACACTTCTGCATGCAAAGGTTTCTCCCACACACAAAACCGCAGGCTGCTGTGTACATGTGTTGTACTCAGCAGCATGTGTACATTACAGAATACTGTGTCACATAAGGAAACTTACATTTCAAGGTTATCGCCTTCCAGAACGGTTTGGACGGGCAAGTAACCCAATCGGGGGTGTTTGGCGAAGTATTTTTTTGACCTGAACTTGTTTTTCAACACCTTAGTGAAATCTCGGACATCTTCGCCAGACGTGGTCTAAAAGAATCAAAAAGAAATCCTGTTAGAGAACAATGTAAAGATTCACACTCACTATTTCACTCCAGCCAGGATTCTGTCACATTAGAACCAAAGACATCACTTTTCTGGACAAGTTATGTTCAATGATAAAGTGAATGTCGTCCAGGATCAAGTCAGAATACAAAGACTCAAAGGGGACCTTATGGAGGTGTACAACATTTTAAATGTAATTGAAAAAGTAAACCCAGATCAATACTTTGGACCAAAGTGTTGGATTTATCAAGACAGTAGAACAAGAGGACATAGGTTTAGAGGTGTAAAGGACAATTTCAGGACAGATACCAGGAAGTTTTTCTTTACACAGAGGGTAATCAATGACTGGAAATGATTGCCAGGAAAGGAGATAGAGGGCAGGATACTGGACTCATTTAAAAAGCAGCTTGATGCAGTGATGGAGGGGGCGCTGAAAACAGGAGGACGGGTATTGTGGAAGATGAGGTCCGTTGGGCCGAGAGGCCTTCTTCATCTAGACCAATCTTGTGAAATGGCCAGAGCTTTAGACACGTCACACAAGACTTTGATCAGCGGTATTGCCATTGGAGTCCTCCAGCTCAGTGGTTAGAGCACTTGCTTCGCAAGGGAGAAACCTGGGTTAAATTCCTGCCAGGGTGAAATGTTGGGCAAGTTTCCTTCTCCACATGCCTCTGTTTACCTAACAGGAACCCGGTTGTTAGTCAATTGGTGATTCGCTTTTCTAGGGGTGATGATTGCTTCAAAAAAAATTGTTCACTCAATCCACGACTGATTGTGGGACACTGCTGTGGCGCTGTGGCTGCTGTATTTCGTTCACAAAATATACAGTCAATCCGCTTTACAGTATTTTCTGTGAAGCGCTTTGAGATACCTTGAAGATATGATAAGGCGTTATATCAAATGCAAGGACTATTATTATTATTTAAGTATTTTCTCACAAAAAACACAAATATGAGCAAACAGGGATTATGGAATGGGGGGGGGGGAAGAAATTGACCAAATATTAAATAGCTTTAGTGGAGGAGCTAGCACTAGCACAAATATCATTGACTCATTAAGAAACAGCTTGATGCTGTGATTGGAGGAGAGAAGGGTTGGCAATCTGGAAGGATAAGATCAAATGAGCTTAAAAAAAATTCTTCTTCATCCAAACCCCTCATCATTTTCTCACCTACACCTAAATTTGACCAGTGTTTCCCACCGAAACATCATTAGAAGTCACAGCTTTAGAACAAGCTCCAAAGACAGTTGGCATTGTCGAATGTTGAAGGATGGTTTGTGCTGTGTGTGTGAAACCAGGCTGAGCAACAAAGCAAACGCACTGCCAGGAGATGGTCTTTACCTTACAATCCTGGGGGGGGATCTCATTTAACCGAAACTTCACAGAGATTTAAAACTGCCTGCCCAAAACCTTTTCATAAAGACAATGCAGAGGACTACAGGATAAAACATGCATTACTCACTGGAGTGCAGTACTCCACCATTGGGTAATGCAATTTATGTCCTTTTGCTGTACGTCCAGAAAAGAAACAGCTTTGGCAGATGTCATAGTTGAAGTGTTTGAGACTCCGGTACCTGCACAGAAACACAAGCCAAATGTAATCAGATTCTTTCTTATGAACCATTGTTACTAGTGAAACTGTTTAATTTACAGTGATTTCTTTTTAAATCCTAAATTTTCTTCTCTGCTGATGTTCCTTCCTGATCATTCCTTATCACCAGCTCCTCCCCTTTCCTTCACACCTGGTAACTTCCTGACCGAGAGGACAGGCCGAAAAGGACCTCAAAGCCTGACTCTCCATAAATCACATGATAAAATACAAACGGATATAGATGTCAGTTAACTGCAGCTTGAAATGGTAATGAGTTAGGTTTTACTGCAAAAATCCCATAACGGTCTCACCCGACCCTACCCCTGCGACCTCCTTCAACCCCACCGACCCTTCGCTCAGCGAGCAACAGACTGCTTTATGCTTCCCAATCTGCCTTACTATCGGGGATGGGCTTTCTGCCATTCTTTCCCCGATCTCTAGAATTCCATCTTGGAATCCCTCTGACTCGGTCCCTCACCTCATTCAAGGTCCGTTTCAAGCCGTGCCTCGTTGACAGCTGATAGCATTTTCGGGCACCTTTCCCCTCCCCACTCCCCTCAGCCAGGGTGCCCAGCCAAGCAGCATCAAGGGCTTTGAGACACCCTCTCGACAAGAAAGGCCCTATATAAGTGTAAACTGTATTGTACTTTCCTCAATGGCCTGAAGCATCTGCGCAAGAATAAAAAGTTCACCACTTTTAAAATTAGAATAAAAAATGTGGCAAATTCACTGTTAATAATATCCCTAGTCGCAAAAAACAGGATGCGGTCGAGTGCCAGTGGATGCTGTAACCAAATACTCTTCTCAGATGAAACAGACTTCATTCAATTCTGGTTTCTCATGAGTGATCAAATTACTTGGCAAACCCATTAGAAATTTAAATTGCTCCTGTTGTACTTTATTTATTTTGCCCTTGGAAGTTTCACAATGAATTACCGCAAAATCTGAAATGGTTTCCAGATCATGATTTGGCATTTTGTTACCCGGCTCACCTAAATCCAACAATCGGACATTCTTTACAGATGTTGCACTTTGCCTGATGTTTTGCTGTTTCAGCAGCTGCCACTCGATGCAGAACAGGCAGCCAGACCACGGACTGAGGCTCCAGTCTCATCCACTCCACAAACAGTTTAACGTCAATCTCTGTCTTGTTCTGAGCCTAGAAGAAAGTAAAATACCATCCACATCAACACTGGTTCAAGGATTATTGCATTCCATAGTGAATGAATTACTGGTAATGTGCTAGAGGCTGCGTTCAATCTCCTGGTATTCTCAACGCATCCACTGGATGAATTTAATTAAAATACTAATCGTCTTTTATATACAGAGGGCTCACTCATCTACAGTTGTAAATGAACCAACGTTGCATAGTATAAGCAATAATAATTGTATTTAATATAGTGCTGATAATGATGAAAAGTCTCAAATGCTTCACAATATTTAACAGTTTTTGGCATGATCGTGAAACATTTTTTAAAAAAAAGCAAATTATCAGTATTTTTTAAATAAAATTTGTGTTTAGCAAATTTATCATTGCTGTTTAGCAATAGATTTCTCTTCCGAGGAGATTGATCATTTCAAGAGTGAGCAACCAATATAATGTGAGCCAGAAAACAAACTATGCAATGAATTTACAATTAAATTCATTGATGCGCCTTTCACATCAGGAGGACATCTCAAAGTGCTTCACACTACTGGCAGGGCTGAGGAGCTCAGCCAAGTAGAGACCTTAAGGTGATCTTTAGAAAAGGGAAGAGAGAGGGAAGGGGTGAGGTGGAGGGACTCCCAGAGAACGGGGGCAGAATGGCTGAAAGCTCACCCACCAATGGTGTTGTGCATTGAGCAGGGAAATGTAGTGATTGGTAAGTGGAGGAAAGGGGCTGAGTTGATAAGGGTTGCCGGAGGTCGTAAAGGTAATAGGAGGTAGAGGGATTTGAATGCAAGGATGAGGATCCTGAATTAGATCTCTTAGGAAATGGGGAGCCAAACAAGGATGGAAGTCATAGGCTCACAGAACCTGGTGGGGGAGAAAACACTGACTGCAGAGTTCTGTACGGTCACCAGCTTGTCTAATGAGAAGCTGAGGAGTTTGGCTGTACTAAAACCGTTTGGCATTCTTCATGCAACTCTGGTTACTTTAATTAAAATACCAATTGCCTGTCATATACAAAGTATACAGAGATAGAGAATGATGTGCATTTTACACATCGTGGGCATGGTTGTGAATATATACACAAGTGGGTTGAGAATACAGCCACTTAGAAAAGCTCAATGTTAGGTTTTCAGTTGTACAATTTTAGTTAAGGCTTCGATCAAAAAATGTAATTAAAAGGTACATTAGTACAAGCTTGACACAATATCACAAAAATGTGCACAGCATATATATCATACTGGTGTATGGCAAACTTACGTGCTGGAAACAACTGCGTACACTTGGCTCAATGTTACTCCCACCGAATGAGGCGACTTCACCCAGCTGCCGAGGGATCTGGATTGCGTCGTGAAGCAAATGGCTCAGGCCTCGCTGGTCACACTGGGCATTAGGTCCGGCCACTTGTTTGAAGAGATCTGTATACAGGCAAAAGCTAAAGTTGTCGATAAAGAAAACAGTGACACTGCTGAACTTACAGCAGCTGAGAGGAGTTCTATGTAATGGGCACTGCGTCCACACATACACAGTTTGTATTCCTGCAACTTAATCTCCAGATTCATGTCCATCAGCAACTTTGAGTTGCCCAGCTTAAAGAAAAAAGTTATTACATTAGAACTGTGCACTTTTCTCATCTACCTGTTCTCACAAGCTAATAAATAATAATAGTCCTTGCATTTGATGTGACGCCTTATCATGTTGTCAAAACACTGTCAATTGGCACGCTCACGTGCTAGTCGACTGAAGTGCTGAAATGTGAATTGTGCCATTGCAGGATTGTTGGTTTTAAACTGAAAGACAAGAAGACATCAAAGTCCAACTCAAATCTTTATGAAATGTGAGAGTTTGTTCACTAAGCTGAGGGAGAAAGAGTTTTTTTGTTAAAACTCTTAATCATGTTAACATGACTCAAAATACTTCTCAAGTAATTACTTGTCCAGTTTAGTGATTGCTTTTCCCACACCAGACTCTAGGAACCTATCACCCCTGTTTTTCACTGGCTCCCCATTCCTCAAAGAATCGAATACAAACCCTCATTTTTACCTTCAACGCCCTCCATGGTTTTGCTCCCGCCTCTGACCTCATGACCCCATATCAGCCTGTTCGCTCCCTTCGCTCAACAGATACCGGCCTGCTTCAGGTCCTCCGCGCTTCTCGACCCACCACTGTCGGTCGGGCATTCAGCATCTCTGCCCCCAGACCCTGGAACTCAACCCCGCAATCCGTCTGCCTCACTGCCTCTCTTGCCTCCTTCAAGTTCTGTCTGAAGACCTTTCTCTTCGATCGTGCCTGCGGCTACCCTCCCACCCCCCCCATCTTCCTCCCCTTCTGACCCCCAACTCTGGTCCAAAAATCCTTGACTGTCCAGCGCCCTGAGACGTCTTTCCGACATGTAGGGCGCTATACAAGTGTCATTGTTTGGAGTCCTGTAGCTCAGTGGTTAGAGCACTCGCTTTGCAAGCGAGAGACCTGAGTTCAATTCCAGGCAGAGGGCGAAACCTTGGGCAAGTTTCCTTACTCCACACGCCTAATAATAATCCCTCCAAAAAAAAAACAATAATAAATTGGTCATTTTCAATCTACGACTGTTTGTGGGACATTGCTGTGCGCAATTGGCTGCCGCGTTTGCCCACAAATATACAGTCAATTCACTTTACAGTGTGTTCTGTGAAGCGCTTTGGGACGTCCTCCCGACGTGAAAAGCGCTATATCAAATGCAAGGATTATTATTATTATTATTTGTTGTTGTTGCTTTTTGGAGCCAAAAAATGTAGCAATCGTTTGCACTAGCAAGGCATCAAAACAACCATGGCGTACATGATCCACCACTGGCCAGGGCACTGGGAAAAACTCCTTGCTCTGTTTGAACACTGTTATGGGATAATTGGTAATGTCCACCCGAAAACAAGCAGATAGGGTTCAATATTTCATTCCAAAGATGGCATCTCTGCCACTACTGCTGTCTCTCTCCCAGCACTACACTGGAAGGAAAAACTGGACTATGAGCTCAAATCCTGACAACAACAACAAGATTCCATTTATAGAGCGTCTTTCACATCGGGAGGACGTCCCAAGGCACTGGACAGTTGGGTCAGGACCCGAGCAGGGTGGATATGGTCAGGGTGAGGGGAGGGAAGGGAGGTAGCGAGAGGGGCTAGAGAGTCGAGAGGGGAGCTGAAGGCACGGTCAAAGAGAAAGGTCTTGAGACCGGCCTTTTCCGGTCATGAAGTAAGATGGCATGAAGTAAGACGGTCAGATTATACTACTAATTAACTTTGCTCCACAACTCAGATACCTCAAAGTCTCACTGTGGTGCTATCATTTATTGTCTTGCAAAGAGATCCCACTGTTAAGACTAGTCTGATGCTAACAGCTCAGACAGGAAGGACAGAACATTGAAAACATTTAGAAGAGCCATATGCTTCTTCCGATTAGTATCTCTGATCAGAGTCTCAACATATTCTTGACAATGTGATAAGGCCTAGATCAAAGAGAAGGATTATTATTATTACTCATCACAAGCCCTTTTCTGCATACAAATCATTAAAGAAACCTAATTGTTCGCTTTTTTTCACAAAACTCACACGTACTGTTAACAATTTGTCATTATTATTCCAGAGCACAGCTTGCTCACATTTAGATCCACACACATTTTTATTTGTCACTTTTAACAGCTGAAGAACTATACTGAAAACGGAAACAAAACACTCATTTTGTAATTAAAATTACCATCAAAACTGAATAAGTTTCCGAAGATGAACATGCGATGATTGTACCCAACAGTACAGATGACACTCATTGTAATGATACTCATTCACTGTTTAAAAAAAACATTTCTTCGCTTCATTTTTTTGTCAGCCCAATTACTCACACTCTGAATGAAGAAATTAATTCTCATGTCACTTTAATGACACAAACTGACACCTCATTTACATCAGTGCACATATTCCTCCATTAACATCAAACAGCATTTCTGACAGCACCCACGATGAATTAATTTGTTACTAAGTACACAGACAAAATTCTCAGCTTCTCAGCTACAGTGTTAAGGAGGCTTAGATGTGTTGTTTTGTATTAAAATATTCTGTATATACCCATTTAATTTTGCTCTGGTCTTCTTTAAACAGCATTCTGTGCAATGCTCCAGCAGTAATAAATTGTGCTGCAATGCCATGGGGATAAGTCACAGATTTCCCTAAGCTTCATAAATACTCTAACAGCTTGGTTCAGCAAGTGAGTATTAGTTCTGCATCTAAACTTTTAAGGACAGGGGACAGCTCCTCAAGTCACGACACTGGGAGAGATTTCCACAGGCAGAGAGGCAGTGCATCATGTTTGGTTACTGGCACCTTTTGAGATTGATGCAAGATATTGAGACAGCAGTTCTCATGTTCCTTGCATAATACCAACAACCTGTGACAGTATGGCTACATTGAGTGGTGTTGCAGACAGTGGACTCTGTCTTGGGGCAGACATTACTCATCAGGCCCATTGGCTCACTTTACTGGCATTCTGGACTTCCCTGAGTTTGAAAGGAAGACATCTTGCTTCCTCCCATGTACGCTGGGCTCCAGGCTCAATATTTGCATTAATGCACAAATTTACTGTCAAAGGCAAATTGCTATAGACTTCAGAGAAGAAAAGTGACACATTTTTTTCATTGCAAAGTCACTTAGTGAACAATGCAAGGCCAGAAGTCTAACAAACGCCGTCGCCGAAAATCTCCATACAACTTTCCACAGCCAGAATTGTCATTTTTTTTGTGTTTTGATAGCTTTTGACGCCCTGTAAATTGTCGCTGAACAAACACTATGTAAATGAAGTAAGTCAAAACGCACTATGAAGGGGACTGCATGGTTAGATTCCACGTACAATTGCACCGCAATGAACATTTGCTCCAAATAAAAGCAGATGGTTATAAGGACACATTGCGGTTTCCAGCTGATTGTCAGTGTGTCGTTCAGCAGATCACTTCTACCCTTAAAATTTACAGCTCAAAACATTCAGTCCAACTGTGCCTTTCCATCTGCAGTAAATGAATCAGTACTCACTCTTGTATTTTTCCTCTAGGAGACCCTTAGATAGAGACATCAATCCGATCTTCAGAGATAGCACACGGATTTTTCCACTCCTACCCCTGGGTAATAAAGAGCAGTACACAAGGTCACCTTCTGTTCAACTGCTGATGAGATCACCTCACCAGCACGTGTCCTTTCTTTGCTTAAACAGTGAAGCTCGACTTAGTACAAATGCATTTACTTCCGGGCACATCAAGCTCCCACAGCAGAATAAATAGATCTGTAAGTGTGCCGAGTTTGCACTTTATATCACCTCACAGACCCAGGGGTTGGAAAAAGTGCCTCGGGGCCACATGCGCAATTTAGATTTATTCTGTGTTTTGCGTGTCAATCTGTGAATGAAGTGCCAATCACACAGGCCTAACACTTTGATCCAGATGATCTGAAGTGACAGCTCTCAGGTAGGTCCTAGTGACAAACAGCACAAGACAGCCGCAAAAGACTAGGGCACCTAGCCCACTGCGCTTATATTACCTGCCGCAGTGGGACATTACTGGGTTGTGGGAATACCTGCAGTCCTCAGAACTCATATCCTGTGTGGATCAAGGCACCCAGGTACACTTGGTTCAAGATTTATTTGTACAGGTTTAAGGTCATTCTTCTTCTGCTCACACTACACTTACTATTAGTGGGTAAGCAACTCTACAAGTAAAATTTTAGTGTGACCAATTATTTTTCTCCCCACTGGCCTCTCTGCTCTTAGTCTGTCCCACTCTTACTGGTGCGGTTTACAGGTGCCGGTTGCCCTCCAATATCTTATCCGAGTTGCCTTGTTCATGTGTGAATCTCGGCAGTAAGTGTCGGCAGGCTACTCAACTGTGAAGGATGTCACAGCCGAACCTGATTTCTCCACACTTACACGTACAATCGGTAAAGGGTGCCTTCGAGTGACCAGCATCAGGAACCAGCCATTTATTCCCTCCCTCACCCTGAGAAGGTTAGCGCAATTTATCTTCTTTATGCAGTCCAGCCTGAGACCAGGAACTTTAGGACGCAATGTGATTCAAACCAGTAAACTCCTGGTCCATAACCTGTAACTCAACCCCATTGGGGCTGCCCAGGTTTGAGAAATTTCAACATCAGCTGTTTTAACTATGGATGTGATCACGCAACATGATTTCCAGATAGTTACTAGCATATGCAAGCAAACACCCTAAACATATCGTATCAAAACTGTCTTGGCACTGGTCTTCACGAAACTGCATATCTATATATATATATAGAGAGAGAGAGATGGCTTTTGGTTTGAATGGCAGATCAATCATCTTCAATTGAAAGATGAGTGAAAGCATCTCAGTAACATCTGACTGTCTGACAGTCAGTCAGTCAGTCAGTCGTGTGACAAGATCCACCAAACAAGCAGCTCAAATATTGTAGGTTGCCAGCATTATGAATAATAATAATAAATAGTCACATTGAGCTTAGAATATTATAAATATTCGAATGTAAATTTTGGCTGCCATCCCGGGGGCAGGGCATTAATAGTCAAAGACACATTAGCACTTGAACACAAAGTGTTGCATCAAAGTGAATCAGACATTTTAATAACACACTCTAAAGACTTCAAGTGCAAATATATTTGTTCTATTTCCTGAGTACGGTAATCAGGGTGAAACATTCATGGAGCAGAAGCATGCAAATGGAATCAGTTTGTCTTTAGTAATGCTACTGTCCATCTGATTACCAACATCTATCCTTAGGTCAGACATGTGAAAAGTCAGACAGGCCAATTTCCATACTGAGCAAAAACTGAAATTTTACAAAAAAACCTTTGGAAATTTTCCTTCTTTTGTGGTAACATTCGGAAGATGTGGATGCATTAGCTTAAAGTGGCGAACGACATGTAGGGATGAACTTCTGAATCTCACTTCACTCAAATTTGATTACCTGATCAGTAATCCTTGTGGATGTCATTTTGCATTGGCACAGCACACGGGTATCAGCATTTCCACTCGTAGGCGATTTACAAGTCGATTCTCTGGACTTTTACTTTAATATTTAAAAAAGCAATTTCTCCATCTCATGATTAATTTACCAAACCACGAGGTTAGGCTGGTGGTTCAATCCCAGGTGTGGGGACTGAGTCAGCATAAGTATGCTTGGTGGACATTCCTCTCAGACATCTCTCTGTGGGAGCCTCACAATCAACTGCTTCATGTTGTACTGTCACACCAGTTAACAATTTCTTCTCGTCTTAACTATCTCCACTGTTCTGAAGCAGCTGACTCAACCTAGAGTATAGTTCCATGGCACCAGCTGAGTCCAGTCAGCAGGTGGTTTACAACTGAGCTCAATCTAATTCCCACCAGACATCCACACAAGTGCACATCCTAGCACATTGATAAAATGTGTGAACCTTGATTGATTTTTGCCTCCCCAATGCTGAGCCCAATTGTCAGACTCAGAACCCTGAGATTATCAAACTTTGCATTCATCAAAGATCTAACTTGGCACCTTCCGCATGACTGTCAGACTGAAAAGGACAATTACCTATTAAGCCAGCAGAGGAGTGGACATTGCTTATTTATGTATCTAAGAATATGATTGACCAGGTTTTGAAGCCAGTGCACAGTTTGCTTTCAATTAAGTGATAAGCAAAGTAGCTCATCAGTGATCTCTTCTTGCTGCTTATTCTTGATAATTAGTAGATTATTTGAAAAGCACCAATTTATTACTTTTGGAAAAAAACTGTAATATTACTTTGATACAATATACAAATGAAAATTGAATGGAAACGTAACAGCTTGTGGCTATCTTAAATGAGTTTATGTAATCAGCCAAATTTATTCCAAACAACTTTGAAATGTTATGAATACGTTATCAAACTTAATATCACACTAATTATAGAAAAAATAAGCAGAGGTTTACAGGAAGTGAAATATACAAACATTTACATAAATATTGTTCTATAAAATGTGAAACTAAATTGGTTTGGATGGATAGAAATAAGTTTTAACAAAACATTTTCTTGACTTGCAAACGTTAGAACAGGTTTTTGTGGGGGAGCAGGGTTAATATGGAGGATTCTCTTCTCTTATTACAAAGAAGCAACTTATTCAAACTCCTGAGGAGGGTCATGAAGTAGGGCTGTTGAAGATGATGAACCTTAAGTAGCGATCGTCTTGTACTAAAACCTAAAAAGCTACTTTGTGAGTGACAAAATTTCCACATTCCCCAAATTTAAGATTATCCCCCCAAAAATCTCCATTAACCAGCAAGGTTGATTATTCTTTCAAAGTCCAATCAATATCAACTGGCTGACTGATATGTCGAGAAGTAGCTCTTTCTGGGTGGCACTGTCTGAGTTACCAAATCCACTGATGCAGTCGGGCGCTTCAGGTGAGAATCACGACCCCAAGGTACTGCAACACTAATCCAATGTCTTTTCCTCTGAATTAAGAGGATCAGCTAACGGTTTGTTCCTATTAGGTATCTATTATATACAATTTATATATGTACAAGATGCGACATTGCAATTTCCACTATACGAATACATAACTGCATTATCATCATCATCCGTACATTTGGTATCACATCGGGAGGATGTCCCAAAGCGCTTCACAGGATTCACTATGAAGTAGAATGACTGTATGATAGCAGGAAAAAGTTCTTTACATTATATTAATATTATTATGGTCTTTATATTATATATTTACCAAACCTTTGGAATGGGAGCTGATGAAACTTCCTAAACTTATTGTAATTTATACCTTCAACTTAAATAAAAATTGAAAAAGCAAAACCTTGTGTAAATATTGCCCTACTGTGAATGAGTATTTATCATCAAGCAGTGTTCATTCCACTCAAATCATGTGTGTCTCAAATCTCAAACAAGTAAGTAATACGTACGTGTCAAAGACATTTAGAAGCCAGTTCAAACACATGTCCACACACAGCGGCACGTTGACCAGATCCTTGTGGCTTTGCTCTAGGCCGTCGTAAATAGTTGTTAAACAATTGATCACCTCAGTCACGTTTAGAAGTTGCTCATTTTGTGTCAGCTTGTGCTGTTCAAAGATGCTATGTGCAGTGTTCAGGTCCAATAAATCCACTGTGAAAGGAAGACATTACAAAATTAGAACTCATCAGAATTTAAACTTATTGGAGCTGCCTGAACAAAAGTTAGACAGTCTCTTTCTGTCCTGTAAATGATCGCAGCGAGTCAAGGTAGTATTTAGTATTGGCATAAACAGGCCAACTCTTCTAAAAATAACAGCAGTACTTCCAGCATCAGGCTGTGATTCCTATTTAAATGTGAATATAGAAAAATATGCTGTACAGTCTGTTGGTGGAGGTACACTGGTCCTGACAGAAGGACTTGGCTAATGACGAGATAGTTAATACTTTAAAGGATCCCGATTGGAATCTTCATTCTCACTATTTAAAAAAAATTGGGTCACTGAATCCACAACCGTTTGTGGGACACCGCTGTGCGCAATTGGCAGCCGCGTTTCGCCCACAGAATATACAGTCAATTCAATTCACAGTATATTCTGTGAAGCACTTTGAGATGTCTAGAAGACATGAGGCACTGTATCAAATGCAAATATTATTATCATTATAACCAGTTATTATTTTGCTGGATATTCTGGCAGACACCAAACCACCTAGTGATTCCTGCGTCAACATGAAGTCAAAATAATTTCATTTCCACAATGAATAGACATGTAGGAGTGGAAAAATGCAGCATGCGATGTGATAATTATGATGCGGGACATTCCAATCGATGCTTGCAGTCGATAACTTCTACAGGGAACTTCCACTCCCTCTTTAAGTTGTTTTTTGCCCAAAAGCCGATCACTTCAGCTATTGTGCTGGCTGCTGGGGCCTCACAGATCCTAGCAATTCAATGTTGCTTTGGCTTAACTCGACTTTTAAAATTATAATTATCCCCAGTGTACAAATATCACATTACTTCACACACCAGATTTTTCACCATATACGGTAGTCTCAATGCTCAAGCGAAGCACCAATGCTTAGGCTTGATCTGAAGATGCGCAGTACAGGTGCAAACAGCGGAAGCGGCATTAGGTTTCTGAAGCCGGGTGGCCGTCTGGGTGACTTGAAGAGACTTCAGTGATGATCAATGATTTATTTCTCAGGCAGCACGTTCAAAACCAGGAATATGCTTTTGGGTGGTCAGGGTGGAAGAAAGTACGCGGTACATGTACAGTACATGTATGCGGATGACACCCAACTCTATTTTTCCACCTCTCTTTGCGACCCCCAGTCCCCTGATGTTCTGTCAGCCTGCCTGTCAGATCTCAAGGGCTGGATGAGCGCAAATTTCCTTCAGCTGAACGCTGACAAGACGGAAGCCATACTCTTTGGCTCTCGTCAACGTCTAAAATCTCATGGCTCTCACCTCCTCCACCTACCAGACCTCCCACTAAAACTCTCCGAACCTGTACGCAACCGAGGCGCCAGTTCGACCCCCAATTATCCTTCCTCCCCCACATCCGGTTCCTCACCAGCACCTCCTTCTTCCACCTCCGACACATCACCCGTCTCCGCTAATATCTCTCTCCGAAAGTCGCTGAAACCCTAGTCCATGCCTTTGTCACCTCTCGGCTGGACTATTCTAACACCCTCCTCGCCGGTCTCCCCTCCACTACCATTCATAAAATCCAGATTATTCAAAACTCTGCCGCCCGCATTTTCACCCGCACCAAAATCCACTCTCCGATTACCCCAGTCCTTGCCAGACTGCACTGGCTGCCTATCCCAGAGAGGATCAACTTCAAGATCCTCACCCTTGTATTCAAATCCCTCCACTCCTCTGCACTGCCCTACCTCTCTGACCTCCTCTCTCCTCAAACCATTGCCCACTGCCTTCGTTCCTCCGGGTCTGTCCTCCTCCTCGTCCCCCGAGTCCTCCGTTCCACACTCGGCGGCCGTGCCTTCAGCCACTATGCCCTGAGGCTCTGGAATTCCCTTCCCCAATCCCTTCGCCTTGCTATTTTCCTATTTTCAGGTCCCCGCTGAAGACCTTTCTTTTCGACCGCACCTTTGGTCACCTTCCTCCCCCTTCCCGTGGCTCGGCCCCCGGGATCCGTTACTATGAAGCGCTCTGAGACGCCGTCCGGCGTGGAGGACGCTATATAAATCCAAGTTGTTGTTGAAAGTGCACCACTTTCTCTGTGGTCTCATTGAGGATGGGTTAATAAGTTGGAACAAGGACAACTTTTTTCCACGCAGTTGGAAAAGAGTGCGTCGTATTACAGAGGTCATACAGCTGCACTGTAGGGAGCTGTTCAATACCTACAAAGTGATGCAGGAGATAGAGCGCAGTCATTAAAATATGTGCTGGAAAATAGACGGGACTCTTTGACTGTGACTAAAAAGGTGTGGCTAAATACAGAGAATACTTCCGGAGGGTTTCTCTTTGAGTGCTAGCTTCTGGTTATTGAGGATTTTCCTTTTTTTATTCTTACAAGAATTGACAGCTTTGTTATCCCTGGATTAAGCAACTGGTGCTGAGTAAGCCTGGTATGCGGCATTGGACTCAGACCTCAAGAACATCAAGGTGGCTGGCATGTCACAAACTGTCCTGTAAAGGTCTTCCCACCATGCTGAACTGTGTTGCCCAAAAGAAACTCGCAGGGAATACCTGGTACCTGCAATCTACCTAGTGAGGGCTCAATCCTCCGCTTGTGGATGACAACTGACCAACTGGTGACTAAACTCGCAGGGAATACCTGGTACCTGCAATCTACCTAGTGAGGGCTCAATCCTCCGCTTGTGGATGACAACTGACCAACTGGTGACTATCCTCCTTGGGCGGGAGGTAAGCGGGGTCTCCTTGGAGCTGAACTGCCTCCAAGGTTTGGCAACAGAATATCAGAATCAAGCGAACCTTCTGTGGCAGACTCAGTAACCAGTACTAGAGCCAGGCAGGTCCGCAGTACTCCAGGGTGAATCACAGCACAGTCAACCTGGTTCATTGGCAGGACTTTGAAGGGCAGACCAGTTACTGGGGCAGGGAGTGATCCCACTCAGGTAACTCTGCAAGCCAAAGCTCTGACGGATGGGGTGGTCCGAGCTGGACAAGCGAGGGAAAGCTTGCAGGCAATGTTCTCGATGGCAAGATATGTTGAGACTACAAAAGTCGTCCCACAACACTGAAGGCAGATGCTTGCCAGATAGCTGATGGTGGCAATGCTCACTCACATTTCATTCTGAGATACGTTGCCCACCAGGAAGCTCACAGGGAGTTCCTTGTACCCACCATCCACCTAGTGAGGGCTCAAACCAATCAGCGCTTGCCGGATGTTGAATGGCCAACCAGAGACTATGTTCCTGTGGGGGATAAGTAGGGTCTCCTTGGAGCTGAACTAGCTCCAAGGTGACATGCCTGGCAATGGAGTGTCAGAATCAAGCCAACCCTCTGTGGTAAACTGGTTCCTGAACCATTTGGATCCACAGTATTCCAGGGCACTGCTGATGACAGCACAGTCACTGGGAGTCATTCCATTTACCTCCTGTTAACCCTGCAACTCAAAGCCCTAATGGGTAGGGTGGTCCTGGCTGGACAAGCAGCAGGAAAGCTTGCCGGACAACAATATCAATGGCAAGCTATGTGGTTTTAGCTGGCTAGACTCCAATGCACACTCTGGGGTCCCCAAGCCTTGGCTTTTGCCAACCTGGGCCTAATATTCTCCGGAATTAGGGAGGAAGGATGTGTCCCTCCAGTGAAAAGTTGATCCATTCCAATAAACATCTCAGATATTTACATGCATGATTTGAATATTCTTAAGCATGATGATGGGTTTCCACATTTGTGTCACACACCTGGCTGGACAAAACAAAAAGGAAGCTAACCTGTAGAAAAGATGGTATATATTTTTACACTATCCCCTAAAAGTACTCCTGCAAGATCTCCTAAAGAGGCAATTGCTCAATTTGGAATCCAGCCCAACAGATTGGCAGCAGCACCACATAAAGCGCTGTATGAATGCTCGATAAGTGTCATCCTGTCTGCATACCATACACCAGCAATCGAACATCAATAAAGGCTGACTCACCGCAAGAGTTTCTGGATTGATTTTGTGTCCTGGTGACTACAAGCTGTGATAAAGATCCAGAAAGATACCAAGAGAATTTGGCAGTCCAAATGCTACGGATACGTTAATGATCCTATGGCTCTATTCAAAGGTCCTGTAGCTCAGTGGTTAGAGCACTCGCTTTGCAAGTGAGAGACCTGAGTTCAATTCCAGGCAGGGCGAAACCTTGGGCAAGTTTCCTTACTCCACACGCCTAATAATAATCCCTCCAAAACCAAAAACAATAATTAAATTGGTCATTTTCAATCTACGACTGTTTGTGGGACATTGCTGTGCGCAATTGGCTGCCGCGTTCGCCCACAAATATACAGTCAATTCACTTTACAGTGTGTTCTGTGAAGCGCTTTGGGACGTCCTCCTGACGTGAAAAGCGCTATATCAAATGCAAGGATTATTATTATTTATTAAAAAGAGTTTCTCCTGGTGTCTTGGCCAACTATTCCTCAAATAAAGTTGGTCTTTCATTTCATGGCTTTTGTCGGACACTGTTTTAAGCAATTGGTTAATGCATTCACCTACAAAACACAGTCACATAACTTCACATTGTATCTGGGACATGCTCCAGATTTGAAAGGCACTATAACATATATAAGGATTATTATTATTTATTTCAGGAAAAGACTGGAAATTTTTTTGAAAGCTTCAGTGTTCATATCTGCAGGAATGCCCTGTTTAATCCTGTATTCCTTACATAAAAGAAACCTTGTGTAAATATAAATAAATGCAAGAAATACTGGCTCTGCTACATTAAATTTACAATTATAGTATTGCTCAGGTCAATTAAGTTTACAGAAACGCATAATATTTATGTGAGTAGTTTATGCTGAAACGTCTTGAAATCGCTTTGGATTTTGCTGAAGTCGGTGAGGCCTGATCCTACAAGCTTGCAGATCGCTTGGAAATCTGGAAGGAACAGATGCCTGCGATAATCAGTTTCAAATGTTTTTCTACATAAATCTCATTCATGCATTTGAATCAACATACTACACCCAGCACAGAGAACCACTTGAAATGCTTCACTCTTGCACCCACCCAAAAAAAAAAAATTCTAAATTGAACGCAACTGCAATCTCACATCTCCATTTTGCTGTCAGATATTTTAGTCCTACCAGTTTCACTTACTGAAATTAAAGTATTATTTAACTGTATAACATGGCGCATTGGATTCATGGCAAACTTGGTTTTCTCACTGTCTGTTTAATTTCCCGTCCAGTTCTCCAACAATTCTCAGGAAGTTGTTGAGTGTATCACTATATCGGAACATTCTAAAAAAAACTTCATTCCTGTTTAATCTTGATAAGGAAATTGGGCACAGAGCAGCCAAGGTCATGAATTCCAAAGCACACAATTATGCTGGAATTTATATAATCCATTCGACAAGTGATTTTCACAAAGGACCACCTACGAGTTAAAAGTTAAAGTTTCACAGTTCTAGATTTCTTACAGCCATCAAACTTGTGTTTACCAGGCTGCACATCTCTCTGAAATCTGGATAGTATCAACACCTGGGCTAAATCGGTTTCCAGTTCCTGACTTCCTTAAAACGCTCCTCATGTGACTCAACAGCTAAACTGCTTGATTCAACGCTGCTCACTGAAATCGATTCTGTTTGGTGCACATCCGGAATGCAGAAGATAAAGTGATGAGATTTCGTACCTGCAATCAAACTAATTCATGATGTGCACCTTGAAAATCAATGCCTGGAGAGAAACAAACAAAGCTGTTCTCTTGAAAAATAGCCTGATAAGCTCAGCCTCAGAACTGAAACAATCCACAATATATTCCTGAACAGAAAAATTGATTTGATAACTTAAAAATGTTTTTATATTGTTATATATTTACACGTTTCATTTCTTCCTCTACCTAATCCCAGCCATTCTTCGATTAATAATAACAATCCATACATTTGGTTTAGTCCCTTTCATGTCAGAACATCTTAAAGCACCTCACAGGATATTCTGTGAAGACTGTGTTTTGTGGGCAAACACAGGCAAATTCCACCCAGACAATGTTCAGTCAATGATATCATGATATCTATCTTAGTGACAACTTGACTTGCACCCGCAGGGAAGCATTGTGCTCCCTCTCTGCTTCTCCTGACTGCATGATCGAGATTAGTAAATCAAGAGTACAAACCTGCATCCCACCCCAAGTGCCGTTTGCAGCATTGTGCTACGGATATCAGTTTAAGCCGAATCATCGATGACACTGAATCATTTTTGACAAATTGCGTAACTGTTGAAACTAGCAGCCAGTAATAAAGCTTTAACCAACTTCAAGGAGATTTTGTAGCGCAAATACAGTAAATGTGGCATCTATATTATTCCACAATGTAGGTTCACAACTTTGGATGCTAGGATCTCACCACACACCCCCCAACTCCCCATTAGCAGACTGTAAACCATGATTGATAACATCTGGAGAAATTCTCTGCAGACACTTACAGCAGAGAGCTTTCTGGAGCCGTCGGATCTTCATGGCTGTACGGTAAGCAGAAAAACGGACGTTGTTCAGGTCACCTATATTTGTGAAAAAAAACATAAAATCACAACACTTGAAATATGAAAACAATCGTTAAAACTGTATCATACAATAGGGGCGAGAACAGAAAATAAACATAGTGAAAAGCTCAAGAATACAAACTGGCGGAAGAGCAAAAAAAAAATCCCTCATCTCTTTGGGGTTAATTTGATGTTGATCACACCAGAAACAGACTCCCTTCTCCCTCTCCCCCACCCCCAATTAAAGCTTTGCCTCATAGAATTGGAAGACATATCCAAGTCTCTTTGATGCTTTGAGGAACAGCCTGGGCAATTATCAACAATGCTTTGGATTATTCTGGTCTTGCTAGGCTTTGCCAGGTGTACTATCATACCCATTTTACAGCTCAGTGGACTCAAGGCATTTAAAGCCAGATCTCACCTGGTCTCACAGCCTCAAACAACTGAGCTACCACGAATGTTAGAACATATTTATTGTTCGTCTCCCCCCACCCACTCACCCTCCGCAAACATACACTTATATAATATAAGTGTGGAGTCCTGTAGCTCAGTGGTTGAGCACTCGCTTTGCAAGCTAGAGACCTGAGTTCAATTCCAGGCAGGGCGAAACCTTGGGCAAGTTTCCTTACTCCACACAGAGCCTAATAATAATCCCTCCAAAACCAAAAACAATAATAAATTGGTCATTTTCAATCCATGACTGTTTGTGGGACATTGCTGTGCGCAATTGGCTGCCGCGTTCGCCCACAAATATACAGTCAATTCACTTTACAGTGTGTTCTGTGAAGCGCTTTGGGACGTCCTCCCGACGTGAAAAGCGCTATATCAAATGCAAGGATTATTATTATTATTATATATAGAGAGAATTGGTTTTATCTCATTTAGCTTTGCCGAAGTTATGTTGCCTCATAACAAGCATTTTAACTAGAACATTCAGAAGAATAACATGAGCAAATCGCATTATCGTCATTGCCCTGGGAAGCCTTATTTGTACTGAGTTTAAAAGTGAATTTGACATTACATTTCAGGTTTGGAATCTGTTTAGAAGTGACATATTCCAGAATAAAGTCCTCATTTGTGTCCTTTAGAACAGATGCATCCATAACAAGAACCTCCTGATGAGGTACAGTTTTGCTAAATCATCACAATGCCTGCCCAGAATTTATCAAGTTAAATTAGCTCAACTTTCACCACATTCAATCAAACTGCTTGAATAAACAGGTAGAATATAGTCTGCATAATAGGAACAAACACCTCAACAGATCCATCCTGTAGCTAATTTAAAAACAAGACCGTGCCACGTTCTGATCTCATATTGAGATCTATTGAGCTCATTGAGACACCAATGTTCGTTATATTGATTCCCTCAAGACCCACATGTGTGGGAAGACTTCCCCCGGTCTACATTTACACTATTTATGTAGCATTCGAGAGCATCCAGAATTTGGCAAATTCTAAAATACAATCTGCATTTTGAGTTAAGAACGAACTTAACAACTTGCTGGACACTCACACAGCAATGTCTCACAAACAGTCATGGACCAATCAGTGACCAATTTTATTTGGTAGCTGGTCAACCAGGACACCCAGAGAAATTCCCTTTTCTTTTCAAATCATGAGTTGGGTTGTTCATGTCTCCCTGGACAGGCAGACTGGACCTTGGTTTAATATTTCATCATTCAATGTACATAGAATGAATCTAGACCCAGGTGGAAATTTCTCCCCAGTAATGTGTATCAGGTTTAGATAGTCCATAGAAGAAGCCAAGCATTGAATCAAGAGGGTGTAGTAGAATCATGCAGACACAATGTGTATTATTTGGGGCTCATGTGCCTTTTTTTTTAAACATTCTGTACTTGAACTGAGTGTGGCTTCTTTGTTATGCTGAAAAATAAGCCTTAGTAGCCATTTGTCATTTTAGGTTGTTGAAATGACTGATTGGATCTTACAGAAGTGCAAAGGGAGAGGTCAGTTCTAAGTGTTTGATGGGAGAGAACATTTACTAAGTCTGAAATGTGGCAAAACATTTCTGTGTCATTGAGGTGTCAAATTAATGTGTTCGGACTGTTTGCTTGTCCTTCCCCTCTGCTTGTCCCCACTACTCGCAAAGTCCAAGACAACAATAACAACTTGTGTTGATATAGCGACCTTCATGGTTTCAGAGTGCTTCACGGGTACGGTGTCAGACGCTGGAAAGGAGGAGACCCATCCTCTGAGTGTTGGCAAGGTCGAAGAGGTAAGTTTGGGTTAAGGGTGGTTAAGGTCAGATTGAGAGAGGGAAGGGGGATGGAGGGGAACAGGGAGGCACTTCCAAACAGTGGGGGCATAGTTACTGATGGTGAAGTGGAGGGCATGCAGCATGCATGGGTTTTTCAATCAGAGGGGGTGAACATAAGAGTGGGATCACAGAAATAAGGAGGTGTTAGGGTATGAAGGGTTTTATAGGTGAAGGCGAGGACCTGAGAGTTTCAGAATACTTACACTACAGCCAATAATATATTTTGCTGTTCAGCAAGAGCTCAGAAGTCCAATGAAGGCGCATTCTTCTATTTTCCCTCAAAGTCATATAAAGTTTTCTATAAATACTCTTCATCCTTTGTACACTGCATTGAAATTGAATCTCATCACACTATGTCTGATTTATGTTTTACCTGGCTTGCAAAGGAAGCTTATTATCTCTCTGGTCTTCCCACTATCTGCAGCTTTCAAATCTCAAACTCGGTACCATCTAACTACTTTTACTTTCCTGTCCTTTAAACCTCGGAGGAGGCCAGTTCTGCAGTTCTTGCCAACCCCCTAATTTCCCTAAAAGCTTTTATTTCTCAGCTGCTTTTCTATCCCAATATTCTATTGATGATCCAGTCTCAATTGCCCCTTAATTGATTACCAGTGGTAATGAATTCTACACCCTAACAACCCTCGGAGTGAAGGTATTCCTTTGAACCTCTCTCACCAGATTCTTCTGTTCACAATCTTGAGATCATGCCCCTTGTCTGTGATTTCCCAACTATGGAAAATGTTTTCCACTATTTATCCTGGCCCTTAACAACTTTTAACATATCCTCTTGCAAGCAGATATATCTCCTCTTTATAGAATGGACTTCAAATAAATAGATGATAAATACAGGCAAATTAATTGTGGCCTTCCCTTCTTCCAAGCAAACAATAAGCAGTGATTACCCCAGACAAGAGAGTGTTCTGATTGCTATTTGCCTACTTACCCAATGAGTGGAAAAGCTCCGTCATCTTGGGATGATCCCAACAGGTGCTTTGGATCTGGTGGCTGGATAGAAAACACACAAACCATTATTAAGGCAGGCAAGGTTAACTCAAGATTTGCAAATTCACATTCAACTCTGAACAAAACTGGCAAATAATTTACTAGAACAACTTAATAGCAGCTTCCATTTACCCAGCTAGTGGCATGAAAACCACACATCTCAAGCCAGAAGCAGTGGCTCACTGAACAAGTTATTAGCAATAGGGCTTGGGAACCCTTTGTGTCAACTTTATCTGAATCTTGTGAGAAACTAACTTGGCAGTAGAGGACACAGGTCTCTCTGAAAAAGCTTTGCATTTGCATACATATGAAGTAGACGGGGCTTTTCTTTTCACTTAAAGCACAACTTTCTGACAGCCATCAAGTTGGCAACACTGATGCAAGTCATAACCCACAAAGATCAGCATCAAAAAAACCTACTGATAGGTATTCAACGACAACAGCAAATTACATTTCTATAGTGCCTTCCATGTCGCATTTGCCAATAAAAAACAGTCACCAAACTTGACAATATAGTGGAACCTGGTTATAATGCGGTGATTGGAATCCGTTGTGAGGCGAAGTAGCTGGTGATAAAAGTACAAATCTCTAATATAATAACCAAGGCCTTATTATTTGCAATAATGTGACAACCAGAGTTGCTATCTTCAAAAAACAACTGGCTAACAATCAGCGTGTGATATATTCACTGGAGTTGAATCAATAACCATCCACAAATTACTCAGTCAATGCTGCCTGTGACCAGTTATCAATGATCTGATAGAAGGTCATTAGCAATTTCAACTTTCTAAAGCTACTTTTTTTAAAAAAACGTCCTCGCCCTCTTTAAATTCAGCTCCTGAAAGAAATAAACTTCTAGAATTGAGGATTTTTTTTAACATGGATCCAAGCTTCTAAAATAATAATTAATGAGCTGTTCAAGAAGATGAAGTATTTTTGTTGCAGGGTCATTTCGCACCCAGTACATATTGACTCCCAGTGCATGGGATGTCGATTTCGCTGCAACTAGCAGATTGTGTTTCACACGTCTAATCGGATTTGTTGTTATTACCACAGAACAAGAAATTTGCTGGCACAAGAAATCAGCGAATTGTTTTACTCTTCGTAAATCTAATTGTCAGCCATTTTGCTCAGAACCATCAGATGAAAGATCAAATAATAACACAAGCATTTTATATTTATATAGCACCTTTCATGTCAGGGGGAAAGTATCTTCACAGAGCTGGCTGTGAAAGGTGACAAGAACAAAGGTCTTAAGGCAGATTTTAAAGGTGGGGAGAGAAGGGTGAGGGGTGGGACTCTGGGATGACTTCCAGTAAACAGAGAGAGAATGGCTGAAGACCCGCATGCTGATGGTGGGGCAGATGGGGCAGGGGGCACGACACAGACTGATATTCACAGAGCAGAGGGACTGGCTGAGATGATAGGGTTGTGGAAAGTCAGAGGTAGGTTGGGGCAAAGGAATGGAAGGATTTAAACAGAATGTCAAGGATCTTGAGCAGGTTGATCGAACCGTCTACCTTGGACAGGATAAAGATTGGTAAAGATTGTTGAACAAGACACTGACAGAAACTCCCTTTCTCTTTTCGAATAGCGTCATCATTCTTAAGCATCCAACTGAGCAGGGAGTTGGGACTTGGTTTAACGGCTTTTCTAACGCATGGCACCTCCAACATTGAGGTGGCCTCCAGCAAGGCCTGATGTGAGGCATGAATAACTTGATGGCCCACAGACAAAAGTGCTACCAATAGAATCAAGCTGGTGCCTAAAAGAAGAAAATAGATTTTAAGGAGAACAGCTATTAATATTTCCTTCAGATGGAGAGCAACATTCACCATGCATACACTCCTGTGGATACAGTCCTCAGCAGTTTCTAGTAAGACTGATGCACAGCAAACTTCAGTAACCATTCTCTCTTCGCACTTATCTCTGCTTTATACAAGGTGGACATTGATTTGTTGAAGCCTCCTTGAACTTGATGAATTTTTAACAGGAAACCAGGTTACAAATGACCCATATTGTCGAATATCCTTTACAGTAGCTTCTCCTGGCTACTATTTCAATGTTAAAACATTACATTTTATAAGTCTATCTCACACCTTTCTGATTATACAATCAGAAATTCTGCATACCCTGATTTTTAAAAAACTAGCATCTAAGATGAACCTTTTTTCAATGAAATGTAATTAAATATAATTTCCAGCTTGTCTCACTGTGCAACATGACACCAGTATGCTACAGGTCACAATGAAAAGCTTTGTAAGGATGAACAGATAGGTGTAATTACAGATCCTAGAGATTGTGCTGGAAATGAGAGAAAGGATTAGATCATTTCTCTCACTGGAAAGGGAGGGAGGTGTATGAGAAAGGTAATATGGAATCGGCAGCATGTGTAAGGCTTCACTGAGCAGGACCGACCACCTCAGGTGCTCTGGGAAGATGGTACAGTGAAATGGGGTCTGGACCCTGACATTTTCACACCAAGATCCAAGATGTGCACTTCAGAATGCCAGCTAAAGCGCAAGAAGCCAAAATGGCCAGCGCGCAGGAAAGGAAGTTGGAATTTGGCTGCGCGCACCGGCCAGCCAGTTATTTGAAGCGTTAATGGAGGCCAGCATCTTTCTGCATGCAGATGCAGGAATGCTAGTCGTGTCACACAAACAAATATACCAATAGCCGCCAAAAGATTCATATCAACAATGCGTCCATCTCAAAACCAGTGCAAGATGGCAAAATTCTTAAATATGACATTAAAAAAAATCTACTCTGTCACTAGTGACGGATAAAACAATTTAACTTTTATGGTTTATGGTCAATAAAATAATGATGGTGGGTTGTCTTTTAGATTTTCAGCATGCTGCAGTAGTTCAATCAATGACCTTTGGCTACATCTATGTGGTTATTTGGCACCTGGGTCCCGAATTGCTATAATTTCTAACAACAAAAAAAATCATTAGAGCTACCAAACAACCTGTAGATCAATGCAGGGACCTGCATGGGGTTTAAATGTAGAAATTCCTAAAGTGTCAATTTGGAATTACCAGGACAGGTCAGACCCCACTGACGTCAAACTTTGAGATGAAGTCTTAGCTTTTAGCTCTGATCTTCCTGCAGATTCTCTATGTACAGAAAATAATTAAAATTGGGCCTTAAAACTATTGCAACCTGTGCTTAACCTCTGCAAACTATAAATCTAAAAGGTTCCTAATGCTATCTCTCTTCCCTGCTCCCGCTGGTTCCTCCAACCTAGAGGACTCAGACCCCTGCTGAGATCTGTGATGAATTTCTAAATTAAAGGCCGTTCTTTCACCTTTGTAAAGCTGTAAAGTCTGTGCACGCTGCAAAAATACGGTTACAAACATGCAACTTACTCATGTTCATGGCTCAGTTTTTCCACAGCAAGATTTCAATTCTTTCCACAGTTCACTCCTCAAACACTGCAAACTGATGAAGTTTCCCTACATCTTCCAAGTGCTGCCCAACTCATGGAACGCCATGCAACCCAGTGACCCACCTCCCCCAATCCCAGCAGTAAACTAATGACTACCAACGGATAAATCAGCTCACCACAGACATCAATGCAAATTAGTCCCGAAGGTGGTCGTTAGAGATGGATTTAAATACATAGCAATGTTCATGGACATATATTTGTACTGAATCTTTATAATTGGAGCCAATGTATTCTGAATAGTATGCAAGGTCTTTGGTTTGAAGTTCTGCTACTACAGCAAATATTCACCTTAATGGTTATATCATATTATATCATATTCACACTATTTTAAAAAAACGTCTTACTTTCTTCAATGCAGAAGATTAGAAAGTAGTATGTCTGTTTCTGAGAAAGAAACTGAGAATAGCTTTCCAGACATAAGAAATACCATCACCCACAAAATAGACAGTCAATTCACTTTACAGTATATTCTGTGAAGCGCTTTGAAAATGCTCAGAAAACCAATAAATGAAATGCAGCATTGACAAGAGGTATCTACATGGTACATGGGGGAAGGTGGGGGGGGGTTGAAGAAGAGATACAGAGGGGGAGAGAGAGAAAGAAAGACACATACATACTCTGCAGATGTATAGACTGCAACTTACCCAGTAATTTCCTGCCTCATGTCCGCCTCAAGTTCAAGCACTTGTGTTCAGAGTCAAACAAAAGGGCACAAGCCCAGTTTCTACAACAGACGTCCAGGAGTCTCACTCCGAGACCAGCCTGCACAATTAGGGCTCAACCGGTACAGTTTCACAGTGTTATCTGCTTCACGTCGAATCTTACCATTCCATCAGTCTGCACAACCATAGCCCCACAAGGATCTTCTGACCAACTGTCTCTGCTGTATATTTTACAGCAAGAATGGTAACAAAAAAAACCTCTTTAAGACACTCCCACGTAACTCAAATACTGGTGCAAAAAAAAGGTGTCCGGTATCACTAGACATGTCAAGTCAGAAGCTATAGACTGGAAGGGAAGATGCCTCCCTAATCACAGCCTCGGCTTTCAGAGAGATTCCTGTCCCTGCACGCACACGTGCCTGAAGACAGTGGAGGTATATCTATTTAGAGGAGAAGATCAGGATTTTAATCATTGTGACAGCTTCCTAATTTACTGCTGAATGGCAACAGAGAAGAGCAATATCTGCCGAACGAGCACTGTGGATTCCAGTCATGCCATTCCGGCTCTGTAGACACAACTCCTCTCTTTAGGAGGACAATTGTTTTGGCACGTATGCACCTCAAGTGGATTCCTGTCAACCAGCTGCAGCAGATGCCTGTCGTGTTTTGTCAGGTATTAAGTAACTCTCTATTCTCCCCAACACCACCACCTCCAAAGTACAGAGGTCAGTCACCGATCCTCTGAAATCACAGCTTTCTCCTCAGACAAAACAGATTGAATTTTTTTATTAACTTTCACAATCCTCTAGCTTGGGAAAAGTAAAACTCAGTAACAAGGAAAGAACCCTTCAAATGAAGCTTTAAGAATAGACAACGGGGTCTTATAATACACCGATCATTAAAACGTCATTCTGTTTGTTATATTTTCCATTAGAAGGGCTAACAGAAAGATTGTGATTTGCCGATTGACAGGACTAAAACTAATATTTTTTCTCAGAACTTTCAGGTTCACATGCACTTTCACTTTAGAGATTTTGAAATCCTTTATATGAATTTAAAAAATGGAAGGAGCAAGGAAAACTCAAAGCCAATTTAAAACCCTTTTTATAGTGAATACAACCTAAGCCAGTATTCATTTCTTCCTGCAGCTATTTATTTACTTTTTCCAATCCTAGGTCAGGTTGTCAGATGTGACAATTGACTCCTTCCTTGTCAAAAGAGTCCTAGACTAAAATAAAGCAGCAGGAAGTAATGAAACAACATCACAATATATACCCATTATTTAGCTTGCCAGGTTCTTCATGTGCCAATATATATAATCCTTACTCATATTAAGTTACATTTTATTAAGAATGGGATCTTGGGATCCATACATAAAGTGCAACAGAAAGGTCTTTCATTGAAGTCAAGTATAAGTAAAGCATGTTAGTGTAATTGGAGGCTGTGGGGTTGCGATTTAAATTTTTAAATAAAACTATTCACAAAGTTACAATTGGAACTGAGCACTTAAATAAGTAGTCAATCGCTAAACACAAAATAATCAATTTAATTATACAAATACCCTCAGCCTTCCGCTAGTTTAATGTCCCTCGTCCCTTTCTTCCAATGTTCAGCACTTTCAGCGCTTTGGGACGTCCTCCCGACGTGAAAGGCTCTCTATAAATGTAATTTTGTTGTTGTTGTTGATGTTCTCTTAAAGGAGATTCAATCCAACTCAGAGACATCCTCCCATTAATGCCATTTGGTTGACTCTTGTATCAGTGATTGAATAGTGTTTAAGAACAATATGGACTCAAGAGGTCAAAGTGGACTCCATCCCTTTTTAATTTCAACTCAGTTTCTATGAGAGGGTAAAGCTTTCTAATCATCTCCTTTGATTTGAAGGCCTAAAGTGAATACATTTTACAAAAGGCATCAAGCCTTTGATAAAAGTAACAAACTTACTTGATGTAATATGGCACTTTATTATTATGCGACACTGCTCTCTGCCAAGGCAACTGAACAGAGGCTGCAGAAACAAAAGCAGATGTTAAAACAAATATAAACGCATGCAACAAAACAATCATTACTAAAGAATCTCTGTAAGCATGATCCTGGACATTACTTTTTTAATAAGCAAAGACATTTAAAATAAATTACTCGACTAAAATGTAAATGCAAAGCCTCAGCCGTGTGACCTGGTGAAATTAATTTGAAACATTTGTGTAAATCCCAACAAGGAATAAAAGTAAAAGTTAAATTCTTCACTTATCAATTACATATACGAATAAAATAATCACTTTTCATTCCGAGAAGACAATTTGGGCATCAATTAGCATCAATGAAAGGGATTTCCTCTTTTCATCTCTCCTCCTCCCCAACACAAAAATCAACTTATCTCATCTCTGACACCAGGAAGAATTTCAGTATACTCAGTGTCAGTATTTCATTAAACTCACTTACTGGAGAGGAAATGTTGTGATGAAGGTCCAAAGTCCCGATGTGCTTCTTGCAACTGTTTAATCCGATCCTCAACATTGACCTGTGATGAGAGAGGCACGCAGCATTATATCTACCTACCCTTGTAGAGCTGTTGCTGGTAGGTGAAGAAATAAAAAGTTCTACTACTGATGCTTCCATACCTACTCATCCTAACACTGGAATGATTTGACAACAGTCTTGCAATTTCATTCATGGTTCAAGACAGTTTTAAATTGTAAGGAACAAGACACAGCTCGGAAATTACGGAAGAAACATGATATGGGTACATTTTTTGGGGAATGTTACAGATTGATACGATCTGAAAAGCAAGCTTCAGTGAACCCACAAGCACGATTGATGAAGTAACTACTCACCTTCAATCTTTCTTCAAATAAAAGTAATTGGGTTTTGTTCAGAGTTAATGTTCCATGTGGGAATAGGCGTGGGCCTGACAGCTAAAAGAAATTGCCCAGGGATGCCCAAGTTTGAATGGGAAAGAGAACACACAGTGAGCTAACTATCACATAGGTCTTGGCACCAGACATATTGACCATCACCTGAGATGTGGGATCACTGCATCCTGGTCCAGTCTTGAAAAAAATAGAAGCAATACATTTTCTGTTCAACATCATGGATTTGATGTTGAACAGGATAAGGGAGGCTGTGTCCTTTTGGCTTGGAGAAGTCTTAGTTGTAGCCAGTGGTGGATCGCTTGATGCCTCTACATCTATATTAAGAAACCGTCTGCTTTTAGTTGGGTACCTTGATGCAAATCTATCTGCCCCAAATGGAATGTGCTCAGGCACATCGATTTGGTTGGGGGGGCAGGGCGAAAGAGAAGAATGATAATGTCTAAAACTCCTAGATCAAATGTGGTATTTGACCAAAAGTAGAGGTAGATAAGGAGGTCTTCACTGGTCTGAAAGGTATAGGAGGACCCAATGAGAACAAACTGTTTTCACTGTGGTGGGATGGAGCTCACTGTTTAGATACCATGGATAGTTTCTCCAACAAGGGTGAAAGAAACTAAATGTTTACGAGAGGCATCTTGGATTCGAAGCTATGTACGATAAATGCTTCTCAACCTTGGCATCACAGGCCAGTATTGTTTGTTGAACTTTCAATCCGCAAGCCAAACCTCATTAGCATCAAACAGTAGATCCAGAGGCTCATTGTGCACATACTGAAGTCACATAATCTACAGACCACTAGACATGCAGACTAGAGGGCATCAAGTTAAGATGGTCACCATCTGCTTGTCGGCCTTCCCAACTCTTCCCTCCACAAGCTGCAGATCATCCGGAACTCTGCAGCTTGTGTCCCCTCCTGCATCAGGCTCCGTGACCCTCTCACCCCTACCCTTGCCCGGCTCCATTGGCTTCCCATCCCCCAGAGGATAGAGGTCAAAATCGTCGTCCTTGTCTTCAAGACCCTGCATGGTCTTGCCCCTCCCTACCTCTGCGACCTGCAAACCCCATGTCAACCGCTCCACTCAGCAGGCACCAGCCTGCTCCATGTTCCCTGCCCAGCCCGCCCACCATCAACGGACGGACCTTCAGCCTCCCTGGCCCCACCCTTTGGAACACCATCCCACATTCGCTTTGCCTCGCTCCCTCTCTCGCCTTCTTCAAGCATGTCTCAAGACCCTCCTTTTCGACCGTGCCTTCGGCCACCCTCTTACCCTCCACCCTTCCTGATCCCAATCCAGCGCCTTGGGATGTCCTCCCACTAAATATACTGTCAATTTGCTTTACAGTATATTCTGTGATGTGCTTGAAGACGTGATAAAGCACTAGATCAAATGCAAGGATTATTATTATTAAACTACATGGGTGTGGGGAAAGGGACTGAAAGGATTGCTCTTAAAAGAGCTAGTACATATTTGATGGGCCAAATTGGCTTTTTCTGTACTGTAAATTTGTATGGTTAGAATAGAACTGTGGAAGTGTCTTTCAACATACTTTGTAATTGTATTTGTGCTATGGCAATGTCAATTTGTGAAGGAGTAGTTATAGGGATTTTTGAAAAGGAAAATTATGAAAGTTTTTGGAACCAAACTGATGACTCCTACAGAGTCACCACAGCACAAATGGTGTTCTGTCGCACTGAACTCCCTGATTCTATGCACAAGATTCAAGTCATTCTATTTCACAGAAAGTTTATTGTGATGTTTTTTTTCAGGGACAGAGTGAACTAAATTAGCTCAAGCAATTTTTTTGAAGAGATGCTGAAAATGTAACTGTAACCAGTGGTTTACTGAGATGGGCATAGAATCTAATTTGGATTTGGAGTAAATGGGTTAGAATGTTAACCTTTTGTCTGCGCAAAAGTAACATGAAATGGAACAGATAATTTTAACCAAATAAACATTCACATCTTGGAGCAACCTATGCACCCTGATGCTTGTGTTACTGGCTTGGATGCCATTTCTTTAGAGGGTACAGTGCACTAGGAACCTATCGGGATTCTCTTCTCAAATTGACTGCAAGGAGTCTTTCAATTGCAATCTCTTGCAATTGCCTTGATGTAGACAGGCAATTGCATGTACAGTGACACACTCCAGTGGTGCATCCTGTTTTGAAGTCTGTGTGTGTTCCGCCTTTTCTTGTATCCTCTACTGGTTTCAATGCAATATGCTTGGTTCCATGTGCAGATCGATATAGAAATGCAACAAGATTTGATCTCGGTAATGGTTTTCGTTTCCCTTTTGATTTCAAACGTAGCTGTAAAGCTTCGCCCTTGAGAAAAAAATGCACTTTATCCAAGTTAAAGATCTTTCTCTTGAATTCTGTAAAACATGGGAGAGTGGAAGCAATGATGCAAACCTGACTTTGGGCAAGTTGAACAGTATTAAGTAATCCACTAATGTGTGGTTTGCCATTGGAATGTAAAACTCTTCCTGAGGTTCTGTTCATGTTTTTACCCGCATTGACTCTGGACTGCAGGGCAGGAAATGAAAACAAGGCTTGAATGACATGGAAAAGGCCTGGATGCAATCAGAACAAGTATTTGAAGCTGCTGCTCAGCACGTAAGGAGCAAGTACCTCTTCTTGGTACCAAAAAAAATCAAAAAATTCAATGGGCCTCATAAATCGTGCTGGTCTGCCACCAGTGTGCACACTTGATGGAATGTAAATACCAATATACCTGCACCTCTTCATTCACACGAACAGATAACTCGCACAACACATCACTATTAATGGCAAGTGAGATGTGACTGAAAAGGAGTGGTTTTACGCAAGGTACATAAAGTGCAGGAGTGAGTGACAAAGAATGTTACAATATATATTCTTACAAGGGGCAGGTGCAGGCACTTAAGGAAACAGTGGACCAGGACATAACACACATAGCAAGCTCCCAATTCTATCTAATGAATGAGTGAAATGGTCAGAAATGAGTGATTATTATTGTAAACCTCTCATAATAAATTTTCATCTTAACATCTTTTGAAGCTGTGTTTACAGACATTAAAGGAATTTAAACCTTGAATACTCATAAGCCCGGTTACATTGTGAAGCCCAATTTAACCATTTCACTAACTGTTCCCCTGAATTAGTTTTTCAGCTCAAAAGTCCTGTTTATCATACCTCATACTTTTTTTTCTTATAAATGTACTGCAAAACAGACTGTAATCTCAATGGGGTGATTTGCTCTGATATGAATTTGTAGGGAAAATGCCCACATTTCAGAGGCTGGGTTTAAAGTCTGGTGCAATTTAATGTAATCTAAAACAAACCCATATGATAGCTTAGTTCAAATAGAGTATATTAATACTGTCTGTGGCATAAATGAGGTTTGGGCAGAGCTGAATATGAACAGAGTGCTTTTTTACTTAATCTATACAATTGCTTAACATAAATAGAATTTAAGATTGCTTAAAAGGCATCCATCTCCGACTAAAATGGTTTTTGGATCCATTAGTGAAGACAGTTGATTTTCTCTGGCAATTCTATCAGTGACTAACTCTTATCCTGGAAAGGACAGCCTTGACCAAGCAAGCCGAGGGGGCATTAGCTGGCATATTTATAAAAAAAAGGCCATAAGTGACTGCAGATACATATCACGAATAGCCTTATAGGATGATGCCTGTACAATGCCCATGCGTTATGCGGCATGTGTTATGAAGCACCACAACCTCAGATCTGGATGCAAAAGCAATGGTTTGAGATCGTTGGCTGAAGAGGCACTGCTAAGTAGCCAAACTATACAACTACATGTAAAATAATGACTATACAAGAATCAGCATTAATCAGAAAGTCTATAAGGCTGCAGTATTGTAAAACATAAGAGTTCAGCTGGCAAGAATAGTTTTGCCTGATCCACTGACAATTGATTTTTTTTTACTGTGAATCCAACCAGGTTTTTAAATGGACTGGCGAGCAACAACCTAACAATCAGCTCATTGAGAAAGAACCACTCATTGGAACAAAATGTACAGTACCATCTAAGTGCTGATACTAATATAACACTTTATAATTTGAGGATGTAAGAAACTCAGGAACGCTCAGGATGCAGGAACGCTCAATGAATAAATACAATCTTTGCCAATGTGAGGAATTGAATTCACTGGCACAAATTTATAGTATTTTTCCATCTGTCTTTGTTTTCCTTTTTGAAATTCTTTGTGGTCTGCCTTAAGTAATGATAATAATAATAATATTAATAATAATAATCATACATGCATTTGATAATGATATCAAACAATACACAAAAAAGTTTTTTTTATATAAAATTCCAAATCCATATCCAAAAATGAGTTGTGGTAACTGGAGCTAAAGTTGGCACATTAACACGTCATTCCCCAGCAACTTTGTTGCAAAGGTACAGTATTCCCTGCGTGTGGCAACTTCATGATGCCATTTTTACCTTCACCCAATTGTGCTTTTTTGGTCCCCAGCTTTGACTCCATTATTGGGAGAAGCTCTGGGGTAGAGACTGAAGTATTGGTTACCGAGCTATGTAACCTGGGTACTTAGGAAGCCTAACAATAATTCTTACATTTGTTATATCGGGAGACATCGGGAGAACATTTCAAAGCGCTTATACTGTAAAGTGGAGTGATTATGTGTTTCTTGGGCGAATGTGGGGCCAATTTTGTGCACAGCAATGTCCCATTGGTTATACTGGATGTATAACTTGAGATATATTCGCAATGGATGAACCATGGAATTTATTCTAAAAAGGTTCATTCTGAAGCTTCTGCTTAGGAAGCAGAATAACTTATTTATAACCACAAGACAGTGTGGCCTTAATTTCCTGGTGATAATGTAAATTAGTGCAGGTCGATCCCCTCAGAAAATGAGCTGTTTTTCCACACTTACCTGTATAAGTTTCCAACGCATATTTAGGTCGTCAAGCTGATGAGAGGTCTTTGGAGATAAAGGGACATCAAGTGGAGACAACTGACTAGCCAGGTCATTTACTATTTTGACTTCTTGCTTCAATGGGGCAATTTCCTCTTTAAAAGCCTAACGGAGAGCATGCAAAAAAAAATCTGAGAAGTGTCCTTATCTAAGAACAATCTTAAAAGTAACGGCTTTAAAGTTTAAATTATTATTCAGTTAAGGTATAAACCACAACTCAGTTTGAAGTATAAAACATAAAAACCAAGATATGAGAATCAATAGAGGTTTTAATATTGTACAACCCTCAACTCTTAGGCAATTTTCATACTTTTAATATATAAATACTGGCTAGAGCCAGCATAAACCACTGAAATAAGCAAACACAGCAAATAGGAAATAAAATGGGGCGAGCAGTGAACTCTCAATAGGGCTACAGGGAATTTCTAACTGAAGAGGCACCTTTGAAATCTTCCTAAAACCGCACTTTCAAATAGAAACAATATTTGGTCAGGAGAATGCTGATGGCCCTGGAGGATGATCTGCACAAGAATACTCAACAAAGCTCATTTATGCATCAGTACTTGTGTAGTCAGCCCTCATTAAACCTAAAATAGCATAGACAAGGCATTGAAATGCGGGGGAAGGGAGTCAGGCACAGGGGAGTGCAGGTTTGGCTGAAGCACAAAGAACATGATGCAGGGGTAGGGGGGGGGGTAAAAACACAAAGGATTGGGAAAGTAAAAGTGCAAGATAGTTGTGGGGCCAGATTTTAAGACAGACGATTATTTAGTGCCTTTGGGCTAAGAATCTAACTGTTTGCTATGTTCAGCCAACAAGGTTTACAAAAGGCTTGCGGCGAGAGATGTTGAGCATTTGAGCACCCAAATGCTCTACCTTTCTGTTTGAATAGCTTCCAATAGCCAATGGGTAAACCCTGTACTCCAGAGAATCGTAAATTAGATTCAATGAACATCTAGAAAGTTTATGTTCAAATAAGCTAAACAGGAGATACAGGATTTGTGCTTGTATTCTTTGTGCTTCAACCAAACCTGCACTCCCCTGTGCCTGACTCCCATCCCCTGCACTTCATTCCCCTGTCTATGCTATTTTAGGTTTAATGAGGGTTACACAAGTGCTGTTGCACAAATGAGTTTTGTTGAGTCAAATGTGGGCAAAGTACAGGATAAAGTTCGCTTGATTCCACTCCAGTAATGTACTTAATCCTTCAGAAAGGGGTCTGTCTGTGCCCCACACCCCACCCACACTTATATATTGGTGTGAATCTTTCCATTCCCTACATGACTGTCGTTACAGCTTCTGAGTGGGATTGGACATTGTACAGTTATGGTCACATTTCATGAAAAAGCCCATTATGCCATAGACTTGAAACTACAATTTCTTTAGATTAATTTGGAATCACCGTAATAATAACTTACGCAAAGTCGAAGTTCCATGCAAACTGTATAGGTCATAGAAAATCTGATTTAATCAATAATCTACACTGCAGATGCATAATTCAAGGCAACCAGTAAGTGCACCTGCTGTGACGGGTCAAGACTACATTTCCCGCAATTCAATGATCAGTAAGTGTGGGAGTAATGGAAGGTAGGAGAACGGCGTTACGAGTTAGGAGATGATAAATACAACTAGTGCAAAGAATTCTAGGTTGTTTTGACAGGAACCTGAATGGAATTCGAGTGGATGTACGACTTAGGCAATTATATGATCTATAAAGATAAGACTTATGCGAGTTTTACTGTGTATATACAAAATATATATTTGAGGCCTGAATTCACATACTTTGAGCAGGACATTTAGTCTTTCATTTTTAATTTACATAAATTACCGTTAATGTGAACAATGTACTTTTTGGAGAATGGACTATCTTCCTATTTCAAGCGCCAAGGTAAAGTGTGTGTGAACAGCAGTTCACTCGATTCCCGTAATGTACTTAATCCCTCAGACCTGTTTGACCATGCCTTCGGTCATCTTTCTCCTCTGCACCCCCCTCAGCTCTGGTGCCAAGCCAGAAATGTCAAGCATTTTGGGATGTCCTCTCGACATGAAAGATGAAATATAAATGTAAATTGTATTGTAGAGAATTAACCTATCCTTCTCCCCTACGCAACAGTGTGATTCATTCCACTTTCTACATCACCATCTTCACATTCTATGAGTGTGATGGGACCATTGCACAGTTATGGTCATAAGCCAACTTGGCACAGGGTTGAGGCAGCAGATTTCTAGGAGGATTCTTACAACAGCTGTCACAGAGAAGATTGTCATCCTATCAATATAGGCTGGATTCAAACCCAGGTCCCAGAGGTGAAAGGACAGTAAGCTGACTAATGAATGTTCCACAGCTCTCCTCCTCCATCTCCCCACCAGATGTTGGTTATTAATCAGCCAGACATGTGTCCAAACATCCATCTTTACAAGGTTGATAGGAGACTGCGCACCGCCTTATCCTAGAGACGAGCGGTTAAAATGTGTCAGAGGCTGTGTTCCACTCCACCTCTTATCTCTGACCCCATACTTTAAAGCACTCTCTCTTGCTCCCATTCTTCTTTGCCCCGACATCTTCATTTCCTACATCCTCATCATAAATCCCAAGAGCTGAAAATGGTCAACCTCACTAGCTGTTAAATTGAATAAAATCCATTAAATTGTAATGAAATCATACTGGAAGTTAATGTACAAGTGCGATAAGGGATATCTCCAAGCTAACTAGTACATCTTCTGCAAAGGCCTCAAATTGAGTGTTGTCAGTAAGGGCATTGCTCATTGGGTATAGATTATATTTGTGAGTAATGTGAAGATGATAATAGTGCAAAGAGCACGTTAACTTTTAAGTCAAGCCACATCATATCTTATAAATTAAATGTCTTTTTGAATCAAACAACATAGCGGATGTCCACCTGGGTCTAGATTTAATCATTTTCTTAGCATTTCAGAAGATCCCGAATTTGACAAATTCTTTACTTATTTTGAGGCTGGTTCACTTCTCCTAAAAACTAGTACAGAAAAACAGCCTCAAAGTTCAGACTGAATTCAACAATTTGTCAAATTCTGGACACTCTGAAATACCAAGAAAATAGAGTAAATCTGGACCCAGGTAAAGTGAAACCTAGACAAAGGTGAAATTTCTCCCTTTTAGGGTGGAAAAAGCTAGCACATGGGAAATTTTCACCTGAAAAGAGATTAATGATGTCATTTATTTGGGATCTAATCATTAATCCTTATTTACCGTGCAAATTATATTACTTTAATTATTCACTGCTCTGTGACACCGATGTGTCTTTAGTTTATTTAGTTAATATGCATTCTGTGATAAACACATGCAAAAAACTATACAACCAATGCATGATTATAATTCTAATTCTTATTAAACAAGTACAAAACAGTAGTTGATAATAGCATTACACATATGCTGTAACAGATAAGCAATTAATTCTAATAATCCTATTTCTAAATCGCAAAATAGAAATCAGTCGTGCTCCGAGACATTTGTCAGTTGTCTCTATCAATTGTATCCACTAAAGAAAGACTTACATTAAGGTAAGGAATACAGTACAATCAGTGGAATCTAGGTTACTTTTAAAAAGGGGGAATTAACACTGGAGAGGTCTAACTTAATTGCATTCCTTAATAAGGAATCTAATTCATGCATATGGGAATTCATTCCAGTAAGTGGAAGTAATTGGAGGCTTGCATCCTGCTTACCTAATACCTGAGAGTATTAGCTGTAGGTTGGCAGGTGCCAAGCCTTGTGTGTGTTGGGGGTGCTACTGGAGTTTAACTAGTTAAAACCATATCACTTGACATTGAGAGCTCTGACTGGACAGCTTCACATTGTTTGGCCAGAGGTAATATCTAACAGTAACTGCATCTTATTAAGAAATACTGCCATTTAGACTCCAATGTTAAATAACTTATTTTATTTCATTATATAATCAATATCATTATTAAAATAAGTAAATACATTATTTCGAGTTTCCTCTGTCATCTCATAATACAGCCTGCAAATTAGGTGGAAGAGCCTCTTGCAAATACAATTCCTTACAGTGTACGGAGGATCCAAGAAACAAGTAAACAGTATTGTGTTATGGGTGCATAACCAAAGCTCTTAATGTAATTAAGCAATTGTAATTAATTTCGCACTGTTCTTGCCTAAGCTGTTTGTCCTAAATTAATAATTCATGAAAAAACTGATGAGAAAAATAAATACTGCAGAACCAACAACAACAACAAGATTCCATTTATAAAGCGCCTTTCACGTCAGGAGGACGTCCCAAGGCGCTGCACAGTTGGGTCAGGACCCGAGCAGGGGGGAAATGGTCAGGGTGAGGGGAGGGAAGGGAGGGAGCGAGGAGGGGGAAATGGTCAGGGTGAGGGGAGGGAAGGGAGGGAGCGAGGAGGGGGAAGAGAGTCGAGAGGGGAGCTGAAGGCACGGTCAAAGAGAAAGGTTTTGAGACCGGCCTTGAAGGAGGAAAGGGAGGAAGCGGCGAAGGCACTGGGGGATAGAGTTCCAGAGCCTCGGGGCTGAGAGGCTGAAGGCCCGACCACCGATGGTAGGGCGGTTGGGGCGGGGGACGTGGAGCAGACCGGAGCCAGAGGAACGGAGGGTACGGGCAGGTAGGTAGGGGGATAGTAGGTCGGAGAGGTAGGAGGGAGCAAGGCCGTGAATGGCCTTGTAGGTGAGGATGAGGATCTTGAAATCAATCCTCTGGGGGATGGGGAGCCAGTGGAGGCGAGCGAGGGTGGGAGTGATGTGGTCGCGAAGCCTGGTGCGGGACAGTACACGAGCTGCAGAGTTCTGAATGACCTGCAGCTTGTGGAGGGAGGTGGCGGGAAGGCCGGCGAGGAGAGAGTTCCCATAGTCCAGCCTTGAGGTGACAAAGGCGTGAACCAGGGTTTCAGCAGCGTGAGGGGTGAGGTAGTGCCGTAGTCTGGCGATGTTCCGGAGGTGATGGAAGGCGGTGCCAGTTGTGGTGCGGATGTGAGGGAGAAAGGACAGCTCAGGGTCGAACAAAACGCCGAGGTTCCTGACTGGCTTTGAGAGGTGGAGAGTGCAGCCTTGGATGCTGATGGTGTCAGCGCCTGAGGTGCGGAGGCGCTGACGT